GCATGCGGCCGGACGGCTCGAGAAGGACAATTGGAAGGGCGGCGGATGGGGAAACCCTTCGGATTGAGCTGATGCAGTCATGCATTCTAATTGTTGCATATTGTTGCCCAGCTTCGTGGTACCCTGACCCTTGTCCAGTTGTGTCCGTTGCCTACGAAACCTTTTCCCAACAGCACCTTCACATTCCTCACTCAGAATAAGAAATTAGACTGTTGTTTTCCGCTGGGGTGCCCAATAAAAGACTTAATGCGACTAACAACTTTCTTGCCATGGTTCCTGTGCCACTCAGCTCGGTTTGGAAACCTGCCAAGCTAATTCGAGGGTCTTCTTCATGTTTGTCGTCAGAGACGAAGGAGAAGCGATTTGGAGAGTTGACAGATATGACTGCCACTGCAATCTTTGGATAGTACAAGCAGGGCTCACGGACTCGCATTTACCACAAACAAACAGGCTTGTTCCCATGTCCATTGAGGGCGACGTGGCCTGTCCGTTACACGTCTCAAGAGGCCATGAATGTCAGATTACCAACATTACTGCACAGCAGCCGCGTGCCAACACTTGCAAGTCTCGTGGGAGTGATGCTACATGCGAAGTGATGGTGGCTTCCTTTGTAAGCTTTGCAGAGGGGCTGACTCAGGTGGCCTGAGCAACTCAACCTGATCTGTCCATGTTGGCAGCAAGCTTCAAGTGGGTCTGGGGATTGGAGTATCTTGAACGGACTTTGGGCGCTGCTCAGGAAGAATTTCGACAACGGGGTGCTACAAGGTCCACTCCACTGAACAAACTTCGACTGCTCTTTTTGAATGAAAATGACTGCGTATTGGTCGAGCATTGGGGTGGTTGCGCGAGGACAAGGAGCTACTGGAGTCAAGGTGCCACGTCCTTGAGGCTGCCAGGGAGTCAAAGCCGTTTTACCTGACTCCGAGAGAATAGCAAAGGCATGATGGAGCGGGGCCCCGGACCATTGCTCTGGCCTGGAGCTCGGGTTTGTACCGTAATCGGCTTTGTGAAAAAGTCGACTGCAGTTGCATGACTCAAGCTGAGGATAGTCCAAGATAAGCGCCATAGCTGCTAAGATGCGAATCGCACATGTCACATAGCCGGCAAGTACGTTGGCCTGCAAGTTTGATGAGTACAGTAGGTGTCTTGCAGGCTGAGCGGGGGCTCAGGATGTTTTTGCAAACAAATAGAACAGCAAGAGCAGCAACACTAGCGAAACATAGAGCAGATTGTCAGGTTTCGGGAGAGTATAATCGGAGGTTGGAACAAGTGAGGATTTGCAGAACGTTCTGCCGTGGACCACACATGGCAAAGTCTGTGAAAGTCCTAAGGCTCCAAACATGCTTTGCCGCCGCCTCTTTAAAAAGTACGCAGTTGAACGATGTGCAAACGATGTGCAAACATTGAGTGGGCTGTATTTCCTTTCCATGTGGCACTCATCAACAATGTTGTGGAAAGCTGCTGCATTGTTTGAACATCGCCCCAACAGAAAAATAAGAACCCCTGTTTGACGGGTTTCAGATGGAAGCCACCAACTAGAGATCGTTTACAAATGGTCGGCCACAATCTCTTCGAAAACCAAGGAGGGTCTTGTATAAAAGCTTGCATCAATTAGATAAATATTATGTTTTTGTGGGATCACTTGGAATATGCGTTTTGAACATGTGTCAAAGCTCATGTTGTATTCAGAGGTCAGACAGAATATTCACCAGACAGCATATGCTCACATGTCGGAAGAAAACGCATTGTCACATCCACGGCGCAAAAACTCTGGGGTTTGTTTGTGGCAGAGTGGCTCAATGCGGTTTTTGCGCCTCATTGGCCAGGCACAGGAGGAGGAGATAGCTGCGCAGCTTGGAAGCCTTTCTGAGGCAAAAGGATGGGGGGGGTTGTGGCGGACGCTTACATCACATGTTCCAACTGGGTATTGATGTTTGTGCACAATGACTATGTTGTTTTGTGTTTTCCCCAAATTTAACCGCCGTTCCAATTGAGAGTTCGGGGCAGCGGTGAAGGGTGGACACTTTAGGCTTGCGTTTGAGTGGCCTCGAGGGTAAGGGACTTAGTTCTGCAACATGTCCTCATGGAGCATGGAGCCAGGTGCTGGAACCCCATATGGCCGTTTTTTTAGGTCATGCGCCTTTGACCGAAAAACAAAAACCATGCCATACGGATTTTTACGGATTTGTTTCAACAACATGTCGAAAAAGTTCGGGTTTTATGCGGGTGATTTACGCACATGACCGGAAGCACATGGTCATACGGGCAAATACGGCCAAATACGGGAGTTTGGCCGGGAAAAAAGGCAAAAAAAACATACGGGGTGCCAGGTTGCCAATATTCATTGACATGCATGCGGGAAAGGATCCGGAAAAACAAAAAAGAAGAAAACAAACTTGGGGCAACTGCGTGGTATTATTTAAGGGCTGCCGCCCAGTGCCGCCGACCCCTGGATTTAGTTGTGGTTTTCGAGCAACCAAAAACAGTGCCGTTGGTTTTGGTTTCTTTGGTTTCTTGCGAATGATGTGTAGTGATGATTATCATCAAGGCAGGACTCCAAATCTCAATGACCCAAATGGCATTTGAGGCGAGGTGCCGTTTCGACAGTGATGCGTAGTCATGATTATGATCATCGCTGCTGGAGATGCTGGGGATGCGTAGTGATGATTATCCGCATGATTGCCACAGATGCTGCGAATGATGCGTAGTGATGATTATCATCAAGGCAGGACTCCAAGTCTCAATGACACAAATGGCATCTGAGGCGAGGTGCCGTTTCGATAGTGATGCGTAGTCATGATCATCGCTAGGCACCCGTGGTAATGCAGAGGATGCTACGATGATAGTGATCATGACAGTCATCCGCAGCTTTGGTAATGCAGAGGATGCTACGATGATAGTTATCATAAGAGTCATCATCCTTATCATCTTCATCATGATTGTCATCATAGTCATCGCCTTCATCATCGTCATCATGATTGTCATGATCATCTCTTTCTTCTATACATTTCAAATGTGGCATGGGCGATGCTGGTGATGCCAGACACGTTTTCTTGCCAGACGATGCCCTTCTATCTTGTCAAGAAACAGCAGCTCTCAGCCCCGCTCTCTACCCCCCCATCAGCCGCAGCATCCTGTGCATTACCAGTAGACACGCCCGGGCGATGCTGGTGATGCCAGACACGTTTTCTTGCCACACGATGCCCTTCTATCTCGTCAAGAAAAAGCAGCTCTCAGCCCCGCTCTCCACCCCCCCATGAGCCGCAGCATCCTTTGCATTACCAATAGACACGCCCGGGCGATGCTGGTGATGCTAGACACGTTTTCTTGCCACACGATGCCCTTCTATCTCGTCAAGAAAAAGCAGCTCTCAGCCCCGCTCTCCACTCCCCCATGAGCCGCAGTCGCGCCTGGCGTCAGTACGCAAGCAACCATGATGATGGTGATGATAAGGGTGAGGCCTGTGATGATAACTATCATCGCAGCATCCTCTGCATTGCCAATGGTGTGGAACGTTACTTTTTGAACTGCATATAAGAATAAGAAAGATGTAAGAAAGATGATGATGATCATCATGATTATGATGAGAAGAGCGATGATGGTGATGATGAGGACCATCATCATGATGATGGTAAGGATGATCATGATGATGACTTTGATAATAACTATCATCGTAGCACCCTTTGCATCACCAGTGCTGCCTAATAAGAGATGATGATGGCCGTGATGATAATGATAACAAGGATGAGGGCTGTGATGATAACTATCATCGTAGCATCCTCGGCATCACCAGTGCCGGCTAATACGAGATGATGATGACCATGATGACAATGATGACAAGGATGAGGGCTGTGATGATAAATATCATCGCATCCTCGGCATCACCAGTGCCGGCCATGATGATAGTGATGATAAGGATGAGGACTGTGATGATAACTATCGTCGTAGCATCCTCTGCATTGCCAATGGGGTCTAACGTTACTTTTGAAATTAATATAAGAACAAGAATGAGATGATGATGATCATCATGATGATGATGAGAAGAGCGATGACATCATAATAAGGATGATCATGATGATGATTATGATGATAACTATCATCGTAACACCTTGCATCACCAGTGCTGCTTAATAAGAGACGATGATGACCGTGATGATAATGATGACAAGGATGAGGCCTGTGATGATAACTATCATCGTAGCATCCTCTGCATTGCCAATGGTGTCTAACGTTACTTTTGAAATGCGTATAAGAATAAGAAAGATGTAAGAAAGATGATGATGATCATCATGATTATGATGAGAAGAGCGATGATGGTGATGATGAGGACCATCATCATGATGATGGTAAGGATGATCATGATGATGACTTTGATAATAACTATCATCGTAGCACCCTTTGCATCACCAGTGCTGCCTAATAAGAGATGATGATGACCGTGATGATAATGATAACAAGAATGAGGACTGTGATGATAACTATCATCGTAGCATCCTCGGCATCACCAGTGCCGGCTAATACGAGATGATGATGACCATGATGATAATGATGATAAGGATGAGGGCTGTGATGATAAATATCATCGCATCCTCGGCATCACCAGTGCCGGCTAGTAAGAGATGATGATAACCATGATGATAGTGATGACAAGGATGAGGACTGTGATGATAACTATCGTCGTAGCATCCGCTGCATTGCCAATGGGGTCTAACGTTACTTTTGAAATGTATATAAGAATAAGAAAGATGATGATGATCATCATGATGATGATGAGAAGAGCGATGACATCATAATAAGGATGATCATGATGATGATTATGATGATAACTATCATCGTAACACCCTTTGCATCACCAGTGCTGCTTAATAAGAGACGATGATGACCGTGATGATAATGATGACAAGGATGAGGACTGTGATGATAACTATCATCGTAGCACCCTCGGCATCATCGTAGCATCCTCGTCATCATCAGTTACTTTTGAAATGCAAATAAGAAAAAGCAGCTCTCAGCCCCGCTCTCCACCCCCCCATGAGCCGCAGCATCCTCTGCATTACCAAGAGACACGCCCGGACGATGCTGGTGATGCTAGACACGTTTTCTTGCCACACGATGCCCTTCTATCTCGTAAAGAAAAAGCAGCTCTCAGCCCCGCTCTCCACTCCCCCATGAGCCGCAGTCGCGCCTGGCGTCAGTACGCAAGCAACCATGATGATGGTGATGATAAGGGTGAGGCCTGTGATGATAACTATCGTCGCAGCATCCTCTGCATTGCCAACGGTGTCTAACGTTACTTTTGAAATGCATATATAAGAATAAGAAAGATGATGACGATCATCATGATTATGATGAGAAGAGCGATGATGGTGATGATGAGGACCATCGGACCATCATCACGATGATGGAAAGGATGATCATGATGATGACTTTGACAACAACTATCATCGTAGCACCTTTTGCATCACCAGTGCTGCCTAATAAGAGATGATGATGACCGTGATGATAATGATAACAAGGATGAGGACTGTGATGATAACTATCATCGTAGCATCCTTGGCATCACCAGTGCCGGCTAATACGAGATGATGATGACAAGGATGAGGGCTGCGATGATAAATATCATCGCATCCTCGGCATCACCAGTGCCGGCTAACAAGAGATGATGATGACCATGATGATGGTGACGATAAGGGTGAATACAAGAACAAGAAAGAGATGATGAGGATCATCATGATGATGAAAAGAGCGATGAAGGTGATGATGACGACCGTCATCATGATGATGGTAAGGATGATCATGATGATGATTATCATGAAGACTATCATCGTAGCACCCTTTGCATCACCAGTGCTGCCTAATAAGCGATGATGATGATAAGAATGATGAAGGATCATATCGATGATGATGATGATGATGGGCATCCGTATGATACCAGTAGTCATATACTTGCCTCAAAGATTAATCCATGCGCTTGTACTGCAACCACCCTTCCCGTGCGCCTCGGGTCGGCGGATATGCATTTCAATAGTAACGTTAGACACCATTGGCAACGCAGAGGATGCTACGATGATAGTTGTCATCACAGTCCTCCAAACACTAACGAAAGATGATGACTATCATCGTAGCATCCTTAGCATCACCAACGGCTGTCATGATAACGATCATCGCAGCATCCTCTGCATCACCAATGCTGCCTGATAAGAGATGACGACGACCATGATGAGAATGGGGGCGTGGTGATCGTTATCATCCGGGTCATGACAAGTATCATCACAACATCCTCTGCATCACTACTTGTTCCTTGATAACTATCATTATCGCATCTTTTGCATTGCCAAGGATGTCTAACGTCCTTTTTTTCTATATATAGTAAGATATGAGAAGACATGAGATGATGCTAGGTGATGATCAGATGATGAGAAAGATGACGACGAGGATGACAACTATCTTCGTAGCATCCTTAGCATCACCAACGGCTGTGATGATAACGATCATCGCAGCATCCTCTGCATCACCAATGCTGCGCGAAAAGAGATGACGACGACCGTGATAATAATGGTGCCGTGCTGATCGTTATCATCCGCGTCATGACAAGTATCATCACAACATCCTCTGCATCACTACTTGTTCCTTGATAACTATCATCATCACATCTTTGGCATTGCCAAGGATGTCTAACGTCCCTTTTGATTTCTATATATAGTAAGATATGAGAAGACATGAGATGATGCTAGGTGATGATCAGATGATGAGAAAGATGACGACGAGGATGACAACTATCTTCGTAGCATCCTTAGCATCACCAACGGCTGTGATGATAACGATCATCGCAGCATCCTCTGCATCACCAATGCTGCCTGATAAGAGATGACGACGACCATGATGATAATGGCACGGGCGTGATGATCGTTATCATCCGCATCATGACAACTATCATCACAACATCCTCTGCATCACTACTTGTTCCTTGATAACCATCATCATCGCATCTTTGGCAGTGCCAAGGAGGTCTAACGTCCCTTTTTTTTCTATATATAGTAAGATATGAGATAGACATGAGATGATGCTAGGTGATGATCAGATGATGAGAAAGATGACGACGAGGATGATAACTATCATCGTAGCATCCTTAGCATCACCAACGGCTGTGATGATAACGATCATCGCAGCATCCTCTGCATCACCAATGCTGCCTGATAAGAGATGACGACGACCATGATGATAATGGGGGCGTGCTGATCGTTATCATCCGCGTCATGACAACTATCATCACAACATCCTCTGCATCACTACTTGTTCCTTGATAACTATCATCATCGCATCTTTGGCATTGTCAAGGATGTTTAACGTCCCTTTTGATTTCTATATATAGTAAGATATGAGAAGACATGAGATGATGCTAGGTGATGATCAGATGATGAGAAAGATGACGACGAGGATGATAACTATCATCGTAGCATCCTTAGCATCACAGCAACGGCTGTGATGATAACGAGCATCGCAGCATCCTCTGCATCACCAATGCTGCCTGATAAGAGATGACGACGACCATGATGAGAATGGGGGCGTGAAGATCGTTATCATCCGCGTCATGACAACTATCATCACAACATCGTTTGCATCACTACTTGTTCCTTGATAACTATCATCATCGCATCCTTTGCATTGCCGAGGATGTCTAACGTCCCTTTTTATTTCTATATATAGTAAGATAGGAGATGATGCCAGGTGATGATCAGGTGATGATAAAGATGATGACCCGGATGATAACTATCATCGTAGCATCCTTAGCATTACTAACGGCTGTGATGATAACTATCATCGCAGCATCCTCTGCATCACCAATGCTGCGCGAAAAGAGACGACGACGACCATGATGATAATGGTGCCGTGCTGATCGTTATCATCCGGGTCATGACAAGTATCATCACAACATCCTCTGCATCACTACTTGTTCCTTGATAACTATCATCATCGCATCTTTTGCATTGCCAAGGATGTCTAACGTCCCTTTTGATTTCTATATATAGTAAGATATGAGAAGACATGAGATGATGCTAGGTGATGATCAGATGATGAGAGATGACGACGAGGATGACAACTATCTTCGTAGCATCCTTAGCATCACCAACGGCTGTGATGATAACGATCATCGCAGCATCCTCTGCATCACCAATGCTGCCTGATAAGAGATGACGACGACCATGATGATAATGGCACGGGCCTGATGATCGTTATCATCCGCATCATGACAACTATCATCACAACATCCTCTGCATCACTACTTGTTCCTTGATAACTATCATCATCGCATCTTTGGCATTGCCAAGGATGTCTAACGTCCTTTTGATTTCTATATATAGTAAGATATGAGAAGACATGAGATGATGCTAGGTGATGATCAGATGATGAGAAAGATGACGACGCGGATGATAACTATCATCGTAGCATCCTTAGCATCACCAACGGCTGTGATGATAACGAGCATCGCAGCATCCTCTGCATCACCAATGCTGCCTGATAAGAGATGACGACGACCATGATGAGAATGGGGGCGTGCTGATCGTTATCATCCGCGTCATGACAAGTATCATCACAACACCCTCTGCATCACTACTTGTTCCTTGATAACTATCATCATCGCATCTTTGGCATTGCCAAAAATGTCTAACGTCCTTTTTTTCTATATATAGTAAGATATGAGAAGACATGAGATGATGCTAGGTGATGATCAGATGATGAGAAAGATGACGACGAGGATGATAACTATCATCGTAGCATCCTGAGCATCACCAACGGCTGTGATGATAACGATCATTGCAGCATCCTCTGCATCACCAATGCTGCCTGATAAGAGATGACGACGACCATGATGATAATGGCACGGGCCTGATGATGGTTATCACCCGGGTCATGACAAGTATCATCACAACATTCTCTGCATCACTACTTGTTCCTTGATAACCATCATCATCGCATCCTTTGCGTTGCCAAGGATGTCTAACGTCCCTTTTGATTTCTATATATAGTAAGATATGAGAAGACATGAGATGATGCTAGGTGATGATCAGATGATGAGAAAGATGACGACAAGGATGATAACTATCATCGTAGCATCCTTAGCATCACTAACGGCTGCGATGACAACTATCATCGCAGCATCCTCTGCATCACCAATGCTGCCTGATAAGAGATGACGACGTCCATGATGATAATGGGGGCGTGCTGATCGTTATCATCCGCGTCATGACAACGATCAGCGCAACATCCTCTGCATCACTACTTGTTCCTTAATAACTATCATCATCGCATTTTTGGCATTGGCAAGGATGTCTAACGTCCCTTTTGATTTCTACAATGAGATGATGCTAGGTGACGATCAGATGATGAGAAAGATGATGACGAGGATGACAACTATCATCGTAGCATCCTGAGCATCACCAACGGCTGTCATGATAACGATCATCGCAGCATCCTCGGCATCACCAATGCTGCCTGAAAAAAAAGACGACAACCATGATGATAATGGCACGGGCCTGATGATCGTTGTCAGCCGCATCATGACAACTATCAGCACAACATCCTCTGCATCACTACTTGTTGCTTGATAACTATCATCATCGCATCCTTTGCATTGCCAAGGATGTCTAACGTCCCTTTTGTTTTCTATATATAGAAAGATATGGTAAGACACGAGATGATGCTAGGTGATGATCAGATGATGAGAAAGATGACGCCGAGAATGATAACTATCATCGTAGCATCCTTAGCATCACCAACGGCTGTGATGATAACGAGCATCGCAGCATCCTCTGCATCACCAATGCTGCCTGATAAGAGATGACGACGACCATGATGATAATGGCACGGGCCTGATGATCATTATCATCCGCATCATGACGACTATCATCACAACATCCTCTGCATCACTACTTGTTCCTTGCATCATCGCATCCTTTGCATTGCCAAGGATGTCTAACGTCCCTTTTGATTTCTTTATATAACAAGATATTGGATGATGCCCGGTGATGATCAGATGATGATAAAGATGATGACGAGGATGATAACTATCATCGTAGCATCCTTAGCATCACTAACGGCTGTGATGATAACTATCATCGCAGCATCCTCTGCATCACCAATGCTGCGCGAAAAGAGATGACGACGACCAGGATGACAATGGGGGCGTGCTGATGGTTATCATCCGCGTCATGACAACTATCATCATAACATCCTCCGCATCACTACTTGTTCCTTGATAACTATCATCATCGCATCTTTTGCATTGCGAAGGAGGTCTGACGTCCCTTTTGATTTCTACATATAATATGTAATATGATATCAGATGCTGCTAGGTGATGATCAGATCATGAGAAAGATGATGACAAGGATGATAACTATCATCGTAGCATCCTTAGCATCACTAACCGCTGTGATGATAACTATCGTCGCAGCATCCTCTGCATCACCAATGCTGCGTGATAAGAGATGACGACAACCATGATGATAATGATGATAAGGATAAGAGAATAAGAAAGAGATGATGATAAGGATGATGATGATCACGATGACCGTGACGATAACATTTATCGTAGCTGCAGCTGCTGATGCTGATGAGGATGAAACTTTGGTTATACTTATGCGCTAACCACCCTTCCCGTGCGCCTCCCCTTTTTAGAGAAAGGGTCGGCGGATCACGGAACTGCGTGGGACAACTTGGGGAGGGAGCATTCGCATTCACTAGCATAGAATAGAACTGTGAAAAAGCAGGCGCCATTTGCCAAACAATGCCCCGTTTAGCCTTCTTTCTGTGTGGTTCTTTTTGGTAGCTATTGCGGCTAGCAGTTGAGTATGTTTGAGACTGCACACGTTCCTGTGATAACGTGTTTCAGTCTTAGTTTTACCGAGGTCAACCAAAACAGCTCCAGCGCGCCCTAAAGCAGGTCCGTTTTTTTTGTCATTTTTTTTGCGTAGTTCCGTAGTTCTGTGCTGCTTTCGACAAGCAAGTTCATGAGCCGGAGGAGTGCTGTAGCTGCCTTGAGTCAACCTGCATGGCAGCAGGTTAGCATAGTGCTTCGGAGCATATTTGAACCATCAAAGCTGACTGAAATGTGGGTCGTTATCACGCAAAATCAAACAGCTTTGTGCTGTTGCTTTGTCCCAGCTCGCCAAAGACACGATGAAAAAGACCAGTGCAAATTGAGGAGGCGGTCGACACTTTGTCAAGTTCAAGCGTTCGCTGGGCCAGGCAGCGACGGTGGAGAAGGGCAAGGCTGATAGCTTGGTTCAAGAGCTAGCTGCCATGCGACAGGACGTGGGTTCTGGCATGGGCTGCTATGGGGCAAGTCTCTTACATTTTAGGGAGCCTGCACAGACGGTAAACACAACGGTGTTCAACATTTGTGGCTGCCTTGGTGGCTGAATGACTGTTCCACTGATCCCCTTGAGGAAATGGAGGAGGCAGCGCGGTCAAAGGGGCTGGATGGTTCGGATTCCGTGAGTGCGCTGGAAGAGCGACGCTCGGCATCCCAGAGCATTGTGTTGACAAACTGTGAGGCTCAAGGGTCGTGCACAGGAGAAGAGAACATGTTGAACACGTCGACTAAGATGGCAGAGATGCCATCAGACATGCTCGGGGTTTTGCTTCATTGCTTTCTTCAAGCCCGGCATGTTGCAGTGACAGCAATCCTAATCAAGTGCAGAGCGCTTCTTTGCATCGTCTTTCTTGCCTGGAGCTCAGGATATGCAGAGCTCAGCGAGGCCCATGAGAAGGTGAAAGGCGAGCTGCAGCAGGAACAGCATCGGCACGAGAGCTGCGTCACCCTGGAATCCGAGATCAAGGAGCAGCAGGAGAAGGCTATGGTCGGTGGCAGCTTTGCAGGGTGCAAGTTGGCACGTAGGATTTTCCTGCTCAGTTGAGTGGCGCCTTTGCAGTTGTTTTACAACACATGCAGTGTGCCTTATGGCTGGCCATTTGGGGAGGCCGTTGTGGAGAAGCGCAAGGCTGATAGCTTGGTTCAAGAGCTAGCTGCCATGCAACAGGACATGGGTTCTGGCATGGGCTGCCATGGGTCAAGTCTCTTACATTTAAGGGCGCCTGCAAAGAAGGTAAACACAACGGTGTTCAGCATTTGTGGCTGCCTTGGTAGCTGAATGACTGTTCCACTGATCCCCTTGAGGAAATGGAGGAGGCAGCGCGGTCAAAGGGGCTGGATGGTTCGGATTCCGTGAGTGCGCTGGAAGAGCGACGCTCGGCATCCCAGAGCATTGTGTTGACAAACTGTGGGGCTCAAGGGTCGTGCACAGGAGAAGAGAACATGTTGAACACGTCGACTAAGATGGCAGGGATGCCATCAGACATGCTCGGGGTTTTGCTTCATTGCTTTCTTCGAGCCCGGCATGTTGCAGTGACAGCAATCCAAATCAAGTGCAGAGCGCTTCTTTGCATCGTCTTTCTTGCCTGGAGCTCAGGATATGCAGAGCTCAGCGAGGCCCATGAGAAGGTGAAAGGCGAGCTGCAGCAGGAACAGCATTGGCACGAGCGCTGCGTCACCCTGGAATCCGAGATCAAGGAGCAGCAGGAGAAGGCTATGGTCAGTGGCAGCTTTGCAGGGTGCAAGTTGGCAGGTAGGATTTTCCTGCTCAGTTGAGTGGCGCCTTTGCAGTTGTTTTACAACACATGCAGTGTGCCTTATGGCTGGCCATTTGGGGAGGCCGTGGTGGAGAAGAGCAAGGCTGATAGCTTGGTTCAAGAGCTAGCTGCCATGCAACAGGACATGGGTTCTGGCATGGGCTGCCATGGGTCAAGTCTCTTACATTTTAGGGAGCCTGCAAAGAAGGTAAACACAACGGTGTTCAGCATTTGTGGCTGCCTTGGTAGCTGAATGACTGTTCCACTGATCCCCTTGAGGAAATGGAGGAGGCAGCGCGGTCAAAGGGGCTGGATGGTTCGGATTCTTTGGTGGAAGAGCGCCGCTCGGCATCTCAGAGCATTGTATTGACACAAACTGTGGGGCTCAAAGGCCGTGCAAACCAATGAATCATATCAACATCGGAGAAGAGAACATGTTGAGCTTGTCGACTAAGATGACAGGGATGCCATCACATGTGCTCAGGGTTTTGCTTCATTGCTTTCTGAAGCCCAGCATGTTGTAGTGACGGCAGTCCAAATCAAGCGCAGAGCGCTTGTTTGCATCGTCTTTCTTGCCTGGAGCTCAGGATATGCACAGCTTAGCGAGGCCCACGAGAAGGTGAAAGGCGAGCTGCAGCAGCAACAGCATTGGCACGAGCGCTGCGTCACCCTGGAATCCGAGATCAAGGAGCAGCAGGAGAAGGCTAAAGCGGAACTGAAGTCCCGTGAGATGTCGGCAGAGCTGTCTGTCGGTCCCCTGGAGGTCGCCCAGGCAGGCGGAATGGAAAGCTCCCCAGCCTCACTCGCCTCGCCAGCCTCACCCTCCAAGCAGGCTTCCTTTGGCTCCTCCTTGGCTGCGCTGCGTCGTGCCCGCGCCTCCATCTCCGGCGGAACCGCCACCGCCGCCGTGGCGTCTGGCGCCGCGCCGGCCGCCGCGCCGGCCGCCGCGCGGCTGCGTCGCCCGCCGCGTCGCCCGGCGCGTCGCCCGGCGCGGCCGCATCGCCTGCAGCATCGGCCTCGTCGCCCAAAGATGGCGCTGGGGCGGCGGCTTTGGCGCTGCAGCGGCTGAAAGCTGCCGCTTCCAAGGCGGCCAAGGACCCGAAAGACCCGAAGGACCCGCAGGACCCCAAGGCCTCGGACACGGCGAAGCCGAAGGCGACTGCCAGCTCGGGCCCCGTCTCTGCAGGTGTGGCGGCGCAGCGAAGCAAGGCGGACAAGTCATTTTGCCGATGTGAACTGTAAATCCAACATGCGGCTCCCAAGCATGGGCTCATTGGGAGTTGGTTCATGAAACGCCCCTGTTTTGAAAGGGCTGTCTAATGTTTCCTTGTTCCAGCCATTGTTTGCTTGGCAATTCTTTTGCAGCAGCATTTGGCAGGCGATTGACTGCGCGCTGCTTTGTTTGCCAATAAGTACTGTGGTCTTGCCTTCTCTCAGCCAGTGAAGCCTAGAGGAAACATGAGCTTTCCTCTGCAAAAACAAATCAACTCTTGGCAGCTGCTTTTCCCGAATATGCTGAGCAGCGAATCCTGGCAGAATCTTCCAGCCAGTGCGACAAGGACCTTTCATTCTTAGCAAATAGCAACCTTACTGGTTGGTGCATGATGCTTGTTGGTGCTCTTCATGTCCTAAGCTGTCAAGGGAACCAACAAGGAACATTGTCCTTTTTTTTGTGGTGGGGTCCAAGTGAACCAAGGGAAAGCTGGCCTTTGTTTCGGGGGGAACATTCCCCTATTTCCACTGCACAGCCTAGAAAAGTTGGCCAGGCTAGAGTCGGAATGTTCGAATACCCAGACAGGTTTCTTTCTCGTAACAGAGCCTTACCAGGAAACAGGAGCTTTAACTCAGAGGCTCGTTTTGGATCGTTTTGTTTCTTTCCCGGCACCTGGGAAGTGAGCGGGTCACGTGATGTCAGGCCACCAGTCTTCTGCAGAAGGCCTTGAAGTCCACTGACACCGGAGGCGAGTCGTATCTGCCGAGTTGCAAACCGGCGGAGCTTTTTGAGGGTACTTGGCTTCCATTTGTCTAAGAATATTGTTTGTATTTTCGCCTGTTGGTTTTGAAGGGAATCTATCACTACTGGATGTGTTTTGTTTTTTTAAATAAAAAAATTCCCAGGGGGCTCAAGCAAATGGAAGTTGGGTGTTCGGCCAAGTTAGAAAGTGGTTAGCCACTTGAGGTATAAACCCTTATAAGAAGGTTAACCCCACCTAGGGATATTCCTAAGTGGGTTATAACCTAGGTTCCCAACGTAGCTTGCTAGCTTGGCCGAACATCCAAGTATCCTGTTGGGGGAGACAGCACTTTTTTAGGGTATCCTATTGAGGGTGCTTGAGAGGGAGTCCGACCTATTTTGGTGCACCTGCAAACCCTTGTGGCAAACTTTAATGAGTGCGAAGATGATGTGGGTGCCGTGAAGGAGGAATTAGACAATTTAGATCCCCGAAAAAGATAGAACACCAAATCTTTCTTCAGCCGGCCTCCCTTTTCGGAAACACCCGCAAATGTAAGCCTGATCAAGTCGGAGGCCAAAGCCTGTGCAAGAAAGGAGATGTGTAGTAGTAATGGCAAACAGCAACCGTGCTTGTCAGGCAACCTGCCAGTTGCAGAATTATTCATTGTGGTGATCTAGTTTTGCTCCTGTCGTTCAGTTTTCTGCTTCTAGTCGTTTGCTTTGTTTCCGGCTCAGGTGAAATGAATCTAGATAGCAAGCATTGCTCAGATGGACAACATGTTCTGCCAACCTCGAACTGTGGCACAGGCTAGACCTCGACATATTCGCTCAGCAGTTTGTCACACGCTCGTCGACGAGATGACCACCAGGGAGGTTGCCAACATGCTGAAGTTCCAGAACAACGCGGCAGCAGCCACTGGCAAGACTGGCTGCCCCGCCTCCAAGTGTGAGAAACTTCGGAGGCGGGTGAAATTGAGGCTTCTTAGATTAGAGCCTTCAAAGGTCTGGTGTTTGAGTGGCTTGATTCACCGAGACACCGAGGTGTGCGTTCTTTGCATAGAACTCAAAGCCAGCACCTTTGTACAAAAGGTGAGCGGCAAGTGATGACGGTGGTGAATCTTCCGATCGCCTTTGCCGTCATGTATACGGTAAGATTGATTCTGCTGTCTTGAAATGAGCTTTTGGCGTCCTGCTTGCAGCAAAGACCATCACCGGTTGATGTTACATGAGCGGCTCACACACAGTCTGTTTCGACTGGGGTCCCCCTCTGAACAAGTCAAGCAATTTGGATTGGGCCCAAATTTCATTAGGCATTGACCGCAGGTTCAACGGCCACTTGTCCTTTTTCCGACCTTTGGTGTGCGGGGTCTCCTTTTTCGAGCCGCGGCCGTCGCGAAAATGCAAGCAGGCTTCGCCATGAGACGCACATGCCAAAGCTGCGCGTGCCTCTAAGCATGAGAAGCTATTGGTGTTGAACGCAGGGACGCCAAAAGATGCGGGGCGCCAACTGGCCGACCACCATTGACTTTTGGTCTCTCAGATTTGGAACAGTTTATAGTGACGGACATACACTTAGAAACGGTTTTGGAAATTTTCTTTTGGCGCCAGGTACTTTTTTCGTTTCTAAGTGCTGTCCCCAGCAGGTACCTTTCGTTTCTAAGTGTTGATCCGGACTGCTACAACCCAATTCAACACTTAGAAATGGTTTTCAACACTTAGAAACTGTTTTCAACACTTAGAAACGGTTTGCAGCACTAGCCCAACAGCTATACACAATCGCTCATGTGTTTCACGCCTTGTTTGATGGCCCCACCTTGCTCACACACGTGCTGACATGTATGAAGTATTGGTCACGTATACACACAAACAAGTCCAATTGGTAGTCTGGGGGGGGGGGGTTGGGGGAGGCGTTTCAAAGTGTTCACCCCCAGCTGATTTCAAGCTTCCGGCAACCCCAAGAAAGCACCGATGCCCCGAGGAGGAAGGTCTATCTATATATATATATATATATATGTAAGTATGTGTGTATGTAAGTAAATCATGCCTTGCTCGCAAACGCACTGACATATAGGAATTATTGGTCATGCACATACACAGACAAGCCCCATTGGTAGAATCTGGGGTGGGGGGCGTTTCTAAGTGTTCACCCCCAGCTGATTTCAAGCTTTCGGCAACCCCAAGAAAACACCGATGCCCCCATGACGAAGGTCTATATATATATATATATAGATATGTGTGTGTGTGTTTGTGTAAGTAGATCATGCCTTGCTCACACACGTGCTGACATGTATGGAGGATTGGTCATGAAAACACACAAACAAGTCCAGTTGGTAGACTCTGAAAAGGGGGGGGTTGGGGGAGACGTTCTTAAGTGTTCACCCCCAGTTGATTTCAAGCTTGGTAACCCCAAGAAAGCACCGATGCCCCCATGACGAAAGTATATATATATATAAATATATGTGTGTGTGTGTTTTTGTAAGTAGATCATGCCTTGCTCACACAGTGCTGACATGTATGGAGCATTGGTCATGTGTACACACAAACAAGTCCAATTGGTAGACTCTGGGGGGGGGGGAAGGGTTGGGGGAGGCGTTTCTAAGTGTTCACCCTCAGCTGATTTCAAGCTTCCGGCAACCCCAAGAAAGCAGCGATGCCCCCATGACGAAGGTCTGTAAATATATATATATATATATATATAAATATGTGTGCGTGTGTTTTTGTAAGTAGATCATGCCTTGCTCACACACGTGCTGACATGTATGAAGTATTGGTCATGTATACACACAAACAAGTCCAATTGGTAGTCTGGGGGGGGGGGGTTGGGGGAGGCGTTTCTAAGTGTTCACCCCCAGCTGATTTCAAGCTTCCGGCAACCCCAAGAAAGAACCGAGGCCCCCAGGATGAAGGTCTATATATATATATATATACAAATATGTGTGTGTTTGTGTAAGTAGATCATGCCTTGCTCACACACAGTGCTTACATGTATGGAGTATTGGTCATGTATACCCACAAACAAGTCCAATTGGTAGACTCTGGGGGGGGGGGGGTTGGGGGAGGCGTTTCTAAGCCCAGCTGATGTCAAGCTTCCGGCAACCCCGAGGAAGTGCTGACATGTGGTGAGGATTGATCATGTATATGTAGACTCTGGGGTGGGGGTGTTAGGGGAGGCGTTTCTAAGTGTTCACCCCCAGCTGATTTCAAGCTTCCGGCAACCCCAAGAAAGAACCGAGGCCCGCAGGATGAAGGTCTATATATATAAATGTGTGTGTGTGTGTGTTTGTGTAAGTAGATCATGCCTTGCTCACACACGTGCTGACATGTGTGGAGTATTGGTCATGTATACACACACACAAGTCCAATTGCTATACTCTGGGGGGGGGGGGGTTGGGGGAGGCGTTTCTAAGCCCAGCTGATGTCAAGCTTCCGGCAACTCTAAGGAAGTGCTGACATGTGGTGAGGATTGATCATGTATATGTAGACTCTGGGGTGGGGGGTGTTGGGGGAGGCGTTTCTAAGTGTTCACCCCCAGCTGATTTCAAGCTTCCGGCAGATGCGCCCAGGATGTGTATGTATTTATATATATATGTGTGTGTGTGTGTAAGTAGATCATGCCTTGCTGACACAGTGCTGACATGAATGGAGTATTGGTCATGCATACACACAAACAAGTCCAATTGGTAGACTCTGTTGGGGGAGGCGTTTCTAAGTGTTCACCGCCCAACAAATTTCAATCTTCCATGCTTCCGGCAACCCCAAAGAAAACACCGATGCCCCGAGGACGAAGATATATATCTATATATATATATATACATATGTATTTATAATTATATACATATGTGTATGTAAGTAGATCATGCCTTGCTCACATAGGTGCTGACCTACATGGAGTATTGGTCATGTAATATATACACACGTACAAGCCCAAGTGGTTGAATCCGGGCGGGGGGGGGGGGGTGTTTCTAAGTACTCACCGCCCGGCTGATTTCAGGCTTCCGTACGTATGTGTGTATGTAAATACATCATGCCTTGCTCACACACGCACTGACATATATGTAGTATTGGTCATGCGCATGCACAGACAAGCCCCATTGGTAGAATCTGGGGCGGGGGGTGTGGTTCACGCCCAGCTGATTTCAAGCTTCCGGCAACCCCAAGAAAGCACCGATGCTCCCAGGATGAAGGTCTATATATATACATAAATATGTGTGTGTAAGTAGATCATGCCTTGCTCACACAGTGCTGACATGTCTGGAGGATTGGTCATGTATACACACAAACAAATCCAATTGGTAGACTCTGGGGAGGGGGGGGTTGGGGGAGGCGTTTCTAAGTGTTCACCCCCAGCTGATTTCAAGCTTCCGGCAACCCCAAGAAAGCACCGATGCCCCGAGGAGGAAGGTCTATGTATATATATATATATATGTAAGTATGTGTGTATGTAAGTAAATCATGCCTTGCTCGCAAACGCACTGACATATAGGAATTATTGGTCATGCACATACACAGACAAGCCCCATTGGTAGAATCTGGGGCGGGGGGGGAGGGTGGGGGGCGTTTCTAAGTGTTCACCCCCAGCTGATTTCAAGCTTTCGGCAACCCCAAGAAAACACCGATGCCCCCATGACGAAGGTCTATATATTTCTAGATATGTGTGTGTGTTTGTGTAAGTAGATCATGCCTTGCTCACACACGTGCTGACATGTATGGAGGATTGGTCATACAAACAAGTCCAGTTGGTAGACTCTGAAAAGGGGGGGGGGGGTTGGGGGAGGCGTTCTTAAGTGTTCACCCCCAGCTGATCTGGGGTGGGGGTGTTGGGGGAGGCGTTTCTAAGTGTTCAGCCCCAGCTGATTTCAAGCTTCCGGCAACCCCAAGAAAGCACCGATGCCCCCAGGATGTGTATGTATATTTTTTATATATATATATGTGTGTGTGTGTGTAAGTAGATCATGCCTTGCTGACACAGTGCTGACATGAATGGAGTATTGGTCATGTATACACACAAACAAGTCCAATTGGTAGACTCTGTTGGGGGAGGCGTTTCTAAGTGTTCACCGCCCAACAAATTTCAATCTTCCAAGCTTCCGGCAACCCCAAAGAAAACACCGATGCCCCGAGGACGAAGATATATACAAATATATACATATGTATTTATAATTATATACATATGTGTATGTAAGTAGATCATGCCTTGCTCACATAGGTGCTGACCTACATGGAGTATTGGTCATGTAATATACACACACGTACAAGCCCAAGTGGTTGAATCCGGGCGGGGGGGGTGTTTCTAAGTATTCACCGCCCGGCTGATTGCAGGCTTCCGTACGTATGTGTGTATGTAAATACATCATGCCTTGCTCACACACGCACTGACATATATGTAGTATTGGTCATGCGCATGCACAGACAAGCCCCATTGGTAGAATCTGGGGCGGGGGGTGTGGTTCACGCCCAGCTGATTTCAAGCTTCCGGCAACCCCAAGAAAGCACGGATGCTCCCAGGATGAAGGTCTATATATATATATATATATGTGTGTGTAAGTAGATCATGCCTTGCTCACACAGTGCTGACATGTCTGGAGGATTGGTCATGTATACACACAAACAAATCCAATTGGTAGACTCTGGGGAGGGGTTGGGGGAGGCGTTTCTAAGTGTTCACCCCCAGCTGATTTCAAGCTTCCGGCAACCCCAAGAAAGCACCGATGCTCCCAGGATGAAGGTCTATATATATATATATAAATATGTGTGTGTGTGTTTGTGTAAGTAGATCATGACATGTGTGGAGTACTGGTCACGGGGGTTCGGGGAGGCGTTTCTAAGTGTTCACCCCCAGCTGATTTCAAGCCTCCGGCAACCCCAAGAAAGAACCGATGCTCCCAGGATGAAGGTCTATATATATATAAATATTGTGTGTTTGTGTAAGTAGATCATGCCTTGCTCACACAGTGCTGACATGTATGGAGTATTGGTCATGTATACCCACAAACAAGTCCAATTGGTAGACTCTGGGGGGGGGGGGGGGTTGGGGGATGCGTTTCTAAGTGTTCACCCCCAGCTGATTTCAAGCTTCCGGCAACCCCAAGAAAACACCAATGCCCCCATGACGAAGGTATATATATATATATATATATAAATATGTGTGTGTGTTTTTGTAAGTAGATCATGCCTTGCTCACACAGTGCTGACATATATGTAGTATTGGTCATGCGCATGCACAGACAAGCCCCATTGGTAGAATCTGGGGCGGGGTGTGGTTCCCGCCCAGCTGATTTCAAGCTTCCGGCAACCCCAAGAAAGCACCGATGCTCCCAGGATGAAGGTCTATATATATATATATAAATATGTGTGTGTGTTTGTGTAAGTAGATCATGCCTTGCTCACACAGTGCTGACATGTGTGGAGTACTGGTCACGGGGGTTCGGGGAGGCGTTTCTAAGTGTTCACCCCCAGCTGATTTCAAGCCTCCGGCAACCCCAAGAAAGCACCGAATCTCCCAGGATGAAGGTCTATATATATATATAAATATGTGTGTGTTTGTGTAAGTAGATCATGCCTTGCTCACACAGTGCTGACATGTATTGAGTATTGGTCATGTATACCCACAAACAAGTCCAATTGGTAGACGCTGGGGGGGGGGGGTTGGGGGAGGTTTTTTTAAGTGTTCACCCCCAGCTGATTTCAAGCTTCCGGCAACCCCAAGAAAGCAGCGATCCCCCCATGACGAAGGTCTGTACATATATAAGAATATGTGTTTGTTTGTGTAAGTAGATCATGCCTTGCTCACACAGTGCTGACATGTATGGAGTGTTGGGCATGTATGCCCACAAACAAGTCCAATTGGTAGATTCTGAAAAAAGAAGTGGGTTGAAAAAACCGTTTCTATCTGTTCGCCCCCAGCTGATTTCAAGCTTCCGGCAACCCCACGAAACCATTTCATTAACCTTATGATTTGTTTCATTATTGTCCATGGTGTCGCTCAGTTTTTTTCAGTTTTTTTCTGTTGAAACAAGGGAGGGATGAACACATGATGAAAAACAGATGATGTTCATGGGAAGTTCTGAAAGCAAAAATGCCAGCAAATCATAATTTGCTTATCATTGTTCATTGTTTCATCATTTGCATACTGTGCTCATATTGGTTCATCATTGTTTCATTATCTCGTCATTTGTTTATCCTTTTCTTTTTTTAAGTAAAATCGTGGCTTTTTCTTGATTTGTAGGTTGTCTTTTGTCTGGCTGCCCAAAGATCTCTTAAGTCTATCATGTGTGCTGTGTGCCTGATTCATTGTATATATATATATATATAGTTAGTTCCACTGTTTTTTCTTGCATGGTCGACTCGATTCTCTCGGGGCAACGTCCGTGACCAATGCTTAGAAGCCGCAGGTACCTCTCGGGCAACACTTAGAAACGTTTCTAAGTTTTTGACGGCTGGTAATATGCATCAGAATCGCCATAAAGGCGAAAAAACATTTCTAAGTGTTGGTCGGCCGAAGCGTTTCTAAGTGTTGAATTTACTGTTTTTATTTGTTTCGTTTCTAAGTGTTTGTCGGAAATTTTGGAAACCAAAACTGTTTCTAAGTGTTTGTCCGGCACTATAGTCTTGTCAATGTAACCTGCCGCAACATGAACAGTTGACTGCATTATGACAAAAGCTATCCCTTGATGCAGTTTTGAGATTCATTGAGCGACTCCCTTGTTTTACAGAATACTATAGTAGAGGCCGGGCGGAAACATGTGTTGCCCATATACTAAAGTATGAGCAAAACACGGTAGGAACACCCCCCCCCCCCCCCAAACGAGGTACGTCCAAGACATGTGGGTGGTTGAGATCACAAACACTTACACCGTTGCCACACGAGGTCGATGCGTCCAAGCGGGTGCCGGGTTGGCCAACAAGGTGGGAACATCCGACCATTTAGCCATGTAGCCAACAACTGCCGTAGCTCATAGTGTTTAAATTAACCACGCAACTACCTCCTTGTTTACATACTCGGAACCGGCCTTGTTTAGATCGTCTGAACCAGAAGGATGGCGGTGATTGCTTGGCGTGAGTCTTTGTTTTTCTTAGTAGGAATGGGCCATGCACGGCACAAGTCCTTCATGTTTCTTGGCTCAGAGGAACGGAGACATGGCCATGCATTGCTTCTACGTTTCAAACGATGTATCTGATCTAGGCTTCAGTCAGCATGGGATTTGAGCCCGCGAGAATCTATGCCGGCGTGTTAGGTTAAATTATATCATACACTGCACTAAACTGTAACTCGTTTCGTGGCATGGACGCCACGTTTCATCCATACCCTGGCCCAAGACGACGAGTCGAAAACTTGCTTTACATCACCTGGCACTTGCTTACATCATGCGCACACGCATTCAACTAGCTCAACATTCCCTTACCTGGGGTTACACTGGAAATCCAATTGGCAGAGATAGAGTAAAGTTTGGAGCAATTGCAACCATCTCAGGTTTGCGTAGTGTTTCCTTTGTGATATGGTCTCAGCCTTCACGTTGACTAAGCGCATGCACATGGTTGATGTGCAGTCGGGCACGACGCCTCGTCCTTGCTGTCATCACGCTCGGGGCATGGCGAATCACAGTGCTTCTCGGCTGAGATGCTTGAAGCCTGTTTCTTGGAGCCAGATATCCCCAAAAAAATCAAGGGCAGTAATCAACCATGTCCTAAAGATCAAGTCCAACATTTTCCTTTTGCCATGTATTCGCTTAGTATTCGGGGGGGGGACTCTCTGTATTGTGGTGGAAAACAGAACATGATCGCGTAGGCAGTCCGCGTAGGCTGTTCAAGAAATCCGTAGGAAGGCTCGCGCAGGCATGGTTTGCCTTGCACAAACTTAAGAGTAGCGCCTGAGAACAGACTCTGCGTAGGCACTCCGCGTAGGCGCTTGTTTTGACGTAGGCTCGCCTAGGCACCCTTCCATGGTTGTGCACACCCGCAGAGGCTCCGTCGACTGGGAAAGCTTGACTTTTTGCGAAGCACCTAACTTCGGGTAAGCACCTTTAGCATGGGTGTTTCAGTCTTCAGAACATAGCTGTCGTCCAGAGTAGGCCTCATGGAAAGCAGTGTAAATGAATCCTCAGATTGCAACAGCCTGAAGCCTGCACGGATCGTGTTCGTTTTGGCCGCTAGCTGTGGAACCCGAAAATTTGTTCGCGTAGTACCGAGTAGGAAGCCCGTGGATTCAATACAGCAATTTGTGTTTTCCGAAGAGCTTGACTTTTTCATACCTGTGGAAAACCCGTATTAAGCTATAGAGGACCCTCAGAAACAAGATGGTTCCAGGGGTTGACACAATCATTGCCATTGCATTGGACGGATGAGGGCTACCTGAAGCACTTAAGCTGAAAGCAGTGCGAGTGGCTGCCTAGGGGATGTGTTGTGAGCTATTCAGGGGATGGCAAAATTGAACTCGACTTTTTCCATTGGTCTGTTTTTGCAGGTGTTTGGGTCTTCAAGTAAGATCCGGTATGTCACACCACTCATTTTAATCTATTTTAGTGGGGATTGGGATGTTCACTGGGGGTACGGGGTTTTGACCCATGGCCATGTGGCTGTGGGTGGTCGGAAAAGGGGATTTGATCATGGCACGACCCGGGCTGACCACAGTGTCAGTGTATGCATGCCTCAGTTAAGAAGTTCTTGTCAATTTGTATGCGTGTCTTGTTTGTCCCAATAAATGTTTGTCAGTGCGCCTGAGGGGATCAGTGGCATCCAAGGAAGAAAAGGGCACCGCTCATGACGGAAGGTTTGTTCGAGATCATTTTCATCGGGGACCCTCTTTCAGGTTCCACGGTTGACTTTGAACAAGAAGGAACAAAAGGAGACCAACCCACGACACGATCTGTCCAAACAGTGGCAGGTTTTGTGGCGCACCCGTGCGCGCTCGCCGCGGCTTTTCTGCCCGGTCTTTGGCGAAGGAGGAACAAGTAGTGGTACTTATTGATGGTGACTCAGCTGCATGTGGCTGGGCTGTGTCTCAACCTAGCGAAGTTCTCATTTTTTGGTGATCACCATTGGCGGGTCTGGCTGAAACTCGGGGCTGGCTCAAACTCGGGGCTTTCAGGGCAACGAGTGCTGACAGTCACACTTGCAGTTTCGGACTACTTTGCTCAGACGCAGCCATGATCAACCTCACTATGTAAGGCGAAAATTCAAGCGTGGAGCCGAGGCAAAACACAACTTCCGCTATACCGAATTGCTTTGGACATGCGTGTCAGTTTCTGAGGACAATGTCCAATGCAAGCGAGACTAAACGCCAGGTTTGCCCTCCCGACGTGATCTGTTTTATGGTACAAGTCTACTTCCCTTGCTCTCTCATAGCAAAGCGTGAGAATAGGAATTATTGTTTGTTTGGGCTTGCGTCAGGTAAATCTGAACTACGGGCAGCAGCGGAATTCTGGATAAAGACATGCTACGGTACCAGAGACCCGAAAATTGAGCAGGCAGGCCAACATCGAAAAGGTGAACACAAACAAAGTCCACCCAGTATACACATTCTTTATCCTGCCCCCCTGCGTGCTGCAGCCGGTTTTGACTCATGTTGCGGCATCCTGCAAAGATACTTTTCTGGAAACGCCCATTCTGTGGATGGACGAAATCCATTTCGCACCACTTTGAATCCATGAGAAACCATTGTTTGTTGATATTTACAGGGGAATCAACATTCCTGGGTTTCTGAACGGTGGTGCGAATCGGATTTCACAACCATCCTCAGTACGGCGCCAAGGCGACCACATTGGGCCTTCCTGGTTTCAGGCTGTGCTGGAGGCGGTTCGGGCCGGGGCAGGGATTCGGCGGGACGTGGCGAGCAGAGACATGTTGGCTGAGGGTGCTTATAGGGCTGGCGCCCATGCTGCCTCCCCCTTAGTGCCAGGCAATACTCAAGTTTCTCGAACAGGCCTCAATACCACTGTTGGAATTCGTCATAAACTTTTGGCAACAAATCCATGGCTCCAGGTCCCAAACTCCAGGCCAACATCTACCTCCTCCCATGGTGCCATGGTGCCAGAATCTCAGCAAGTTTTGCCCAGCCTTTGATGGATTTTAATAGCAGTGTGGAGGGCTGAAAGCTGTTAAACGGCCAAACACTATGATGCTGGTGGTGTCCACCATTGAAGCCCGTCCCTTGGCGGAATCGAGCCCTAGGAGTTGACCGAAAAGCCGCGTAGAAATATTTTCCACAAAGACCATTTGTGCATGCACACGATGTAAAGCAGTGCAGGTCCATAGAAGCGAAATGAAGCTGAGCATCAAAGCTAAACAGCCACATGCTCATGGCCTGTATAAGACGTGCATGGGGATTTTTTTCTTGGAAACTCTTGGGGCACCAGGGCTTGACTGAAGGGGGCCGCGTATCCGCGTGTTGTTTGGAAGGCGGTATAGAGAGGGGGGACAAGTTGTGTGATTGGTAAGAAGGTGACACATCCGGACGCAGAAAGTCAGCCCGATTTGAAGGAAAGGTTCCAAGCAGAGATTGTGAGAGAGCTTCTCTCAGGCGAGACTGATCCAAGGTGAGCCTTATTCTTTGGCGCTCTGCAGAGCTTCCCGAACCAGAGAAGAGAGCCCGAAAATGGAAGTATTTGCTCTAAGTGGTTTCTCCTAGGTAGGGTGGCCAGAAATTGTGCATACATTGTTTTGTTGACTTTGGGTTCCATCATTGCTGGGCAACCTCATTTTGGGGCGCGATGGATTCCACGCGAGAGCTTTCCATTGCTTCCTGGCCAGCTTCGTTGGCTCCATGCTCCCCTTCTGAGAGCTTCTAAGATTACCTATGGGTGTAAAAGGAAGTTCCATGTTCCCAACTTCCCAGGCAGCCAAGCGCCTGGGCCGCGTGCAAGATGCCGCCTGCTTCGCTGCGCCCCACCTGCGCGACCGATGGCGCTCGGACCTGCAGCGATGCCAACTGGCCTTTTGGCCCGTGCCCAGGCGAGGCGAGAGGAGAGAGCGTTTGGAAAGGGGGATTGCCATTGATTACGTAGCTGATTTTGGGCACTGAGTAAGTAGTTTGGCTGGTTTTGGACATTCAAAGTATGTATCGTACTGTCATACTTATGATGTTTGACCACTTCCTGAGCTACCTGCGCGCTCACATACATGTGTAATTGAGACCTCCAACATGGATGGCCTGTTGGGCACGACAAAAAGAACGACGTATTCATGATGTTTTGTTGCAAGAGAAAGAACTCTTTTGTGGCGGACCACCAGACAAGAGGCCTGAAGCTGTGGATCAGAGGCAATGTTCAATTGGATGTGACACACACTTGGTTGTGCAACACTACTACTTGGGTGCCGAAAGGACTTTTGAGATTTCATCAACCGGTTGATAACTTTCACCAGCATCTATGCTTTGGAACGGCAATCACCCAAGCGGTGCGTGACCAGTCAGAGTCCTGCGAAAAGACACTTGTGGACTTGGGCAAAGGCACACATGAGCGCGCCAGGCAGAATACCGAGCAGTCCGCCGATCCGAACGATGTGGCCATTGTCCAAGCTGCGGAGAGGATTGCCACAACATCGCCCACCAGCTGTATTGCCATTGCCTCTACAGACACGGACTTTCTGGAATCTCGACGATTCCCTTAACCATATAACGCATCGAGACTTGTTCAATCTTTCAGTTGGTTTAGGGCCGGAAGAGGACATCATGACACCCCGGGATTGCTGTTATGCCAGCGCTTTTTCGCTGAGCGCTAGCAGCCACATTGGTTGCCTTCCGAACACAGGTGTTTGCTTTGGGATCCATGCAGTGAAGCGGTGGTTTGGGGGGGGGGGAGATGATTTAGGACTTCCATCTCCAGCTGAAGCGGCGGGGTGTGCGGTCCGCGGCACTGGTGCCCTATGCCAGTGATGAGAAGAGATGCCGGGCCCTGGATGTGCCAGCAGCTTGGATCAGATGGAGAGGCTCAACATCCGGGCTGGGCACCGGTTGTTTGGGCATGAAATGAAAGGATCACAGGATCTCGATGCAGCGCACAGCTCTCCAGAGGCCCTTTGCTAAACAGCGAACATGTGTTTTGGCCACTGGTTTGAGTTCCTTGGCATGGGTTATTGTGTGAGTGCTCCCAACTTTGCGCCAGGCAGCGGTTTTGTGTGTGTGTTTCTCCGGTTGGTCGTGCGCATGTGACAGGTGCTTCGTTTCAAGATCCAGCAAGAGCCGCCGGACTTTGTGGAGGCTTTTGAAGAGCACTTCGGGCGTCCATACGACGAGGAGGAGGCCAAGGCCGTGTTTTCTGAAGTGGGCCAAGGACTGCAAAAGGAACGCAGAAGCAAAACTAGAAGCGACCAAATGGGTGTGTCTTTGTTTAAGGATACCCAAATGAAGGTAGCACATGGCAAATTTCGGGCACAACGAAGAGCCGGTGAGAGGTATGCATCGCGAGTTGAAGACGATGTCGGGTCCGCGCGCAGCAACGGATGAACAACGATCTTGCTGTAAATAGGCAACCCCAATTTTCAAACAAGTATATATGTTCCAAGAAGGAAGTCCAGAGCGGCGAGTTGGAGAATTTGCACATAGGATTTGCACGAGAGACACTGTACGACAGAGCTTGCACCAGCAGATGCCACAGACTCTTGGGCGAGAAAGACATGCGCAAGACATACACATGGTAGATCATGGTCGTCTTTTGAGGCGGCGCGGTGGGACCGGACCCACTTGGCGAAAATTTGACGCCTGCGAGGATCGAGCATGTTGATGTGCAACCTTTCATGCTCCGCACGCAATGTTTGGAATGCAACATTTGACAAATCTCGCGACGACCCTGTGCGAGGAGTGCACTCGCCCCGCTCGCAATTTGCAAGTTTATAGCTTGCGACAAGACATTTGCACCAAAAAGCCTGTCCGTGAAATAGAACACATCTCTGCAACCTCAGCATTGCCTGACGTTCGGATGAATCCGGGGGGAGGGCTATTTGGTTTGGCTTTCAAAGGTGACATCATCATCCTTCGAACATCCAGATTTTCCTGGCATGGTGTTTTCCAGTCCTCTAGGATTTGTCGCCTTTTCTGAAAACAAAAGGAGGGATGCAGTCCAACTGGGGAGGTACTTCGGCGCTAAAGCCGGCCAGGACTCAAGCGCTTGGGGTACCAGGCCGAGCCTTCCTTCCCGACCACCAGGGCGTTGGCATTGTTCTTCCATGTGAACGACGTCAAGGACGCGCAAAGGTCCGAGTGGCTCCAGCTGAATGGGATCAGTTGGATCTGGGGCGTTCAATTCGCTGTTGAAACCAATTCAGAAAGCGCTCCGCACCTCCACGTCTCCAATCCGAAGGACTAACTCGGAGTTAACTGTTTGGATTGCTGGCTAGCTTCGAAGGTGGCTGTACCAGATGCATGTCTCGGGCGACGGATTACAATAAATGCACGTTGGAAGGCAGCACGGAAAAGCATGAGTGTGGTTTTATGGTCATGGTTTGCCTGACTGCTGAACAGATCGGTGCGATGTTTCGAACACTTGGACTCTTGGACCGCCATCATTTTCTGGACACTCGCACCATGATGCTCGGCTGTACTCGTCCTTGGAAAACTTGTGGAATATTTCCATTTTCTTGTGTGACAAAGGCACACTTGTATTGAGGGCCCTTTTCCTGCTTGGGGCTTTGCCGTACTGGGCACCCTTTTTTATCGGGCGTCGACATCGTTCCGCCGGAGTCGCAACCCTTCGTTTGAGGGTTCAAGTCAGGTTTCGGGAACTTATTTTTTCCTTGGAGACAAGGGCTTGCTTCCCAAGAAAACTCGACTCTACCCCTGCAAAAGCGACCTCAGCTGTCCGTTCAACTATCGCGGGATGTCCTGCCTGCCACACCGTGCCATGCCCGCCAGGAGTTTCGCATCTATCCCTGGTGCGTGGGGGCGTTCCAGGCAAGGCCAAGCGTCTGCATTCTGTTGATTTTGCTTTGCATTCTGGTGGCCTCCTTGAGGGGAGGGGCTCAGGCTCTGCCGCTGCTGAGCGCTGCTCAACCCTTCCCCGGGCAGCTGGGCTTTTTCGAGGCAAAGGGGCAAAGAGAGCCTGGAAAAGCAGTCAACCGTTCTTTGGCAAAGAAGATCTTCAAATGGCTGGTAAATCATTGTAAATCACCGTTTTTAGCTGGGGGCCTAGGTTGATCCCTTTGGAAGCCGCCCAGTGTGAGTCAAGACTGGGAAAGCAGGTCCCTTGGGTTGTGACCTCGTGCTAAGATCGAGCCAGGACCCTACCGCATGTGGGATGTGTCTCTTCAAGGGAAAGAAAGCGGAAACGATGCCCTGCTATGTTCAAACTTGCAAAAGTGAGAGGTCGAGGGTGGCTTTGCATTCTTGGGCGAGGTCTGGTTGACCGCCTTCACAGTCTTGCTTGCGTTGCCTGCGCCCCCCACCTACACCACAAATCCCTGAGCCCATTCAAGCTACAAACCCATGGCCTAAACCCTAAAGCTTGAAAGCCGACTGGCTTCTCACGCTGAACTTTTGAGAGCCGCCAAGAGTTTGGCGGCATTTGAAGAAAATCAAGAAGCTTCACCAACCGCCAAAAAATTTAAGCCCTCCTGGGAGGAAAACAAGCAAACAAACAACAAGACACATGTTGCTCGACCATAACCACACCTCGGCTAGAGTATCTATGATAGGGATAGGCATCAAAGCTGATAGCAATATCCATTTGTGGTCCACCGTCAAAGTGCCCTTTGCTTGGATTTGGTAAAGACAGGATGGTCAGCATCCCCGTACTGTAAAAGGGTTTGTGAAAAATCCACATTTTAAAGATTCCTTTTCAAGGAACCACCATGAGCATGACCCACATTAAGGACTTTTGATTATCCTGTTTTTTCAAGGGGCATTGCGCTCAAATAACCGGTACCCAAAATGGAACCCTGGCAAGTGGAAACTTGGACCAAAACCTGCGTAACCCCTCCTGTTTAATTTTGAGCCACAGCCACTTGGTGGGACGGCCATGATCCCATGCTCTGCAAACTCGTCTTGCAGGCCGTGCAGGGCCGCAAGCGCGCGGCCGACTGGCGAGTAGAGGAGCCTGACAGAACTGGATTGAACATTTTCAGTCAACATATCATCCAGTTTATGGTCAATTTGGGATCGACATTCAATTTGTTTGGGTCTTTGAATGGGCAAACCAACGGTTGTCACCGGTTTCCAATTGTTGCTTATACGTACCACCTTCCCCCCCCCCCCTTCCGTTTCGTGTATAAAGAACGCCGACAAGCCCGACATTCGGCGGGGGCTCCTCCGACTTTCGACGCCCGGATCTACCTTTTGGGTTGCGGAACAATGTCAAGCCCGAGCCGTATGCGCCAAGTTTGGTCCCAGGGTGTGGGCAGAACACTTCCTGCGGAGGCTTTGCACTGTTTTTGTATTCGGGCCCAAACACGTCGCCACTGCGAAGGCTGATTGTGCGCATCCCAAAAAAAAGCCATGGCTATTTGGGGTTCCTTTGGTGATTGGTTTCCGACAAACAAGCGAACAAACTGGGGGGTCATACAATTCCGCGTTCCAGAATCACAACCTGGAGGGTACTTGGGTAGTTGGCATTAAAATGATTGGAACACCTGATTGCGAGTCTTTACAGGGATATTTGTAGTTGATTGGGGTCAGCAACAAATGGCCAACAACTTGGGTGCCTTTTAACCAGTGTTAAAACGTTTGAGAATTTGGAGACGCCACAAAGAGTTCAGATTGATCTCAGGAGCTGACTCCAGGTCTGGCACAGCGGGTCTTGATATGGCTCGGCTACGAGGCATGGGACCGGATGTTTCGAAGCTTTCAGGACGTAGAGGTTTCCAGAAGCAAAAGCAATGGCAAGTGCTAGATTGATCCAAAGGGGGCCGACACCCAAGGGTTGCAGTGCGTTTGTTCATGTGTTCGTTCATTTGGTTATTTGCAAGTTCATGTATTAATTTGTTTGTTTGGTTGGTTGGTTTGGTTGAGTGCTTTGCTTGTTCATTTATTTGCTTGTTCATGTACAGTAAGGGACCAACTAGCGAATTGGTTCTTTCCTTGTTCTCATTTAGCTTGGTTGGTTGTAAGGGACCTAGATCAACAAATCAACCCGGGAGATGCCCTGCCCACGAGGCTGACCTGGACCTCTCCGAGGCTTTGCAGGCCTTCTGGCACCGCAACGGCAAGGCTCTCAGGCACGCTGAGCTGAGCCGGGATCGGCCGGGATCGCGCGCAAAAGTTGGACCCCGGTGGTGGTGCAGGATACAGCCGCAACTGAAGCAACATGTTGCTTTTTTTTGGGGGGGAAACATGGCTATGAGCTTTTCATGGTCGGAACAAAATAGGCCCCTTGTAGAAGACAAGCCTTTTTGAACAAGGGATCACTTCTGTTGCGGGTGGGAGGGTAATTGGGGCGGCTTTGTTTCTTTTGATTTTGTTGGTTCAACTCACATACTCCGGTCACGGCTTGTCTGTTTCTGCCGTCACGAGGAGGCAGAGCCCTTCCATTCTAGACGTGTCTTCCGTTTTCTGTGGGTCTATTCAGAAAGGAGTCTTTCGCTCTGGATTATCTGAAGCCCGAAAGGAGCCAAGTTTACATAGCTGGTAGGGTGCCAGACGCTACCATCCGTAGTGCAGATTCTGAAGCTCGGCTGGCACCAAATCCTTTTTGCGAGCTTGGCTTCACTTTTTCGGTGAGTCAGTCGGTATGGCTTAAACCAGCGATCCCTCCTGATGGTTGCGTGCACGTGGCTTTCGCTGTGAAGCATCAGTGCCCGGGTCGGTGTTTTGACCAACTGGCATACAAGAATCGTTGATTTGGGGATATGCACACCTCCCAAAAATGGAACTTCTGAATTCACATCGGTTTTGCAGCAGCAAAAACTGGCAAGCCATGCCGTGTCCGTTTCCGCAGTGGGCATCGGGGGTGGTTCAAAGGGGGAGCCAAAACAGGAGGCCCACGGGAAGCAAACCGCAAGGCGCAAAAGGCGACATTCCGGTGCATCGGGCTTGACAAGCGTACTTAAAGGAAAGCATCTCTTCGCTGTTCTTGGCAAGTTACTTGTTTTTTGTTGGTTCTGTTGATTTTTAGTAGGGGGCTGCAAAAAAAAGAAGTTTGTTGCTACCATGCCAATAATTGTGAAGATTTGAACACTAGCCTTTTGAGATGTCGTGTTGAAACTAGCCTTCATCGCCAGTGTTCAGCAACTTTTGTTTGGCCCGCACTTTTCCCGTGAGGACGAATTTGAAGCGGTCCGCTTTGAGACCGCCGACGGAGGGACCAGTGCCAGCACCCCGTCCACCAGTCGGAAGGGTTCTTTGCATACTTATGAGGGCCGCTGCGACCTCACCCATCTTCCATTTTTGTTTCAGCATTTCAGGATGTGTTTTTGTTTGTTTTCTGGAACCTTCAACCACTCTTCTTCCAGGTGAATCAGTCACCGGCCACGAGAATTTGTTTGCAGTCCCATTGGAAATGTTTGTCCGTTTGAGTAGGTCGAAAACCACCACCAAAGTTGAGAAGCTCCTGGCTTTCCTGGCAGGATTCATGGATTGCCTGGAGTTTCAAGGATTCCCTTCGAGGTTCTGGCAGGATACTGAAAGTTTGTTTTTTCCCCCCCCCCCCCAGGGGCTTAAGCAGATGGAAGTATGTAAGTTGGAACCTCAAAGCCACAGGGGGGGGGAAGCCCTCGTTTCCGCCGTGGAAAGTCAGTTTTCCCTTCCTCCAAGAAAAGGACTAAAAGCATAAAGGGCAAGCTCTGTTTTCCCCTTGCTGGCTTTCCGAGCTTTGCCAGAACTCTATGTCTCCCCAAAGCAGATGGTTTTTGCGGTTGCTTATCCCCAATAAACCTGTACCCTTGCCCGTCTCTCTCACACCGAGGAGAAGTTGGCCTTTCTTGATGCGATCTTCTCTTCATCCATCCGCCAGCAATGGCGGGCGGCGCTTGTAGACACCGATCTGCGACCCTGGCGGCTTACCTGAATTCCTTTGGTTCGTCAACGATGTGACTGAAGAGAGGCACTCACAAAGCGCACTCCACACATCAAGCCAACCTTTCCGATTTGCCATTGGGGGCTCAGTCCAGCGGGGGCTCTTGCAGCTTCCCCAAATTTCCAGGCGTAAACCAGGCAGCCGATTGTGAAGGCGTCAGGCTGGAGGATTGGGAGCTGAATACGCTGAAGCAGCGTCCCTATATGTCCCCCACCAAAGGTCACCCCACCAAACCCAGATTCTTGAAGTGTCCAAGCAATTCCAGGTGATGTTTAAATTCCACGGAAAGGGACATATGAGAATAACCTATGTGGCATTTGCATGCGAAATGGCAATCAGCTTCCTATTGCAGTCCTTACTTGTGACATCCAACATGGTCCGAGTTCAAAGCCCAGGGTCTGGTTGAAAGCCGTTCGCAAGGCTGGTCCGGAAGAAGTACCTGGCCGCAGAGGCTTCAAAGGCCGAGGCGGGATTCATCAGACACATGGGGAATCGCAGAACAACAACTAGTTGAGGCGTGTTTAGTGGAGGCTCAATGCGGCTAATGGGAACTTGATGGATATCCAGGAACCTTCAGTATTTAAGGCAGGTATAGTTGCTTTACGCAAAGAGGATTCTTTTGAATATTCCTGCGTATTCCAAAGTCGTTACAAGTGTGCTTGTGCTGACGCAGGTTCTGCACGGACAGGATAGAAAGCATGCGGCCAGCACTTGTGGTTTGCCCGGAGACTCTCTTCCGGGGGGCCTCACGCGCTCAGATTCCCTCACACCTGCCAGCGTTTTAGCTCCCGCGCCCGATATCGAACGGTCTGCCCTTAGAACATCCGCAAGCCTTCGCCGATGCGCGCAACTGCGCAGGGTGCGGCTTTTCGATGGGTCACTATGTGCATTTTTTGGGACTACCCTGGGCTCAGCCAGAAGTTAGAAGGTGACAAGTGAAGCTCTCCACAACCTAAAGTGAGTCTAAACTCTAAACCCTGAACCTTAAGCCCTAAAACCCTTCAACCCTAAACCCTAAACCCCAAACTAAACCTTAAACGGGGGGGTTTGAGGTCAAGTTAAACCCTAAACCTGAACCCTAAATGGGGCAAGTTAAGCCACAGGATGGAAAGAGACCAGAAAGTGCAACAAAGTGGTTCTGGGCGAACCACACGTGCTGCGGGAAAGCATGGCTTGCATCTCTTTCACAATTGTCCCAAGACTACAGCTTATGTGTGAAGAGACCTCCGAACATACGCGGTGTTTATTCCCCACCCGACAGGAAGGGGTTGTCAGATTTTATGTTGGAATCCGCGTTTGCGATGCTTCTACACCACGCCCTCACCCAGTATCCCGCCAGATCAGCTCGCCAGTGGATAGAGCAGCTCGCCAGTGGATCCCGAAGAGTATCCCGCCAGAGCTGCTCGCCAGTGGGGGATCCCGCCGAGTATCCTGCCAGAGCTGCTCGCCAGTGGATCCCGCCCAGTATCCCGCCAGAGCGGCTCGCCAGTGGATCCCGCCGAGTACCCCGCCAGAGCGGCTCGCCAGTGGATCCCGCCGAGTATCCCACCCGTCGAGCATCTCGCTGAGTGTCCCAGAGTAGCTCGCCAGTGGATCCCGCCGAGTATCCCGCCAGAGCAGCTCGCCAGTGGATCCCGCCGAGTATCCTGCCAGAGCAGCCCGCCGCCGAGTATCCCGCTGAGTATCCCAGAGTAGCTTCTGTGAGGGCTCCCTGCGTGACATCTCAAAATGTGGGCCCAATATTTCAATCATGCTCCATCACTTTCCAAGGTCGCCTAATCAACGAGGCAGTAAGAGCTTGAGTCTTTGCATGGTTTCCACTACTCGCAAAACCGAAGCCACCCCCCAGCGGAGACGGTTTGGGGGTAGGATATGACGCACCGATGAAACCTTTCCAAACGGATGAGGCTTTCCTAAGTCTATCTTCCGGGGGGATATTCGTGTTCTGCGGGCATCTTTCAGGAGAATCGATATGCCAAAATTAGGCTTTTCAAGGCAGCACCCTTCAAAACCATCAGACAAATGCCCAGATTCACATTCCAAGCATCAGCTGATATCTCAGGCATAGGTTTCAACTTGTCGGAGCAATGCGACCCTAGCAGGCTGTCGGCCTCAAGCATTTGCCACTGGGACAATGTGCGGTGTTTGTGTCCAAAATGGCACCTCCCTCGTGGACCAACCTCACCGTTGGGCAAGGTACTAATTGATGGATGACTTTCTTTTTTTGGGAGTGCTTGTTGGTTTATGTAGGCCGGCTGCCGGTTTTCCAGTCGCCGTCTCTCGTTGAAACTTCCACCCGGTTTCGGAAGCGCAGCACAACTCAGTTTGGTTTGGCAACCAAAACATTTCTGGTCTTTCACTAGTCTCCTACATGGACGGACCGTAGGGTGAAAGTAGATTATGAAAATATGCCGTGTGATGCAGATGATCAAGCCCTGACTTGTGCCTACCGTCCCCTGTGTTTTGAGAGTATTGAACACACTCATTCAGGAAACCCTGAATTGGTGCTTTGAATTTGTGGTTTGGATTTGGATTTGAGCCACCGCTTCTTTTAAAGGGTAAATGGGCAACCACCCTCGGAACACCACCAAACCGCCTCAATCCAAAGCACCAAGAAAGAAGCTGAATCAGCTCCTTGAGGCCATGGCGGCTATGCAGCGCCTTCTGCTGGATCGGGGCCTTCAAGTACCAAGGAGGTCCTATGCCTTTTGGCGCCATTTGTTTCGTTGGCTTCGTAACTGGCCTCTTTTGACATACATTTCATCAAATGGCCAGAATCTTAACACATATTGCAGTGGCGCAAAGGCTGAGGTATAAGTGGCAAGGAGGGTATTGATTTGGGGCTACAGTGTGGGCTCTCAGTGGAGGGCTTCCCAAGTGACAGCCAAGAGGGCTGCTGTCTCTCAGTTCGGTTTGCCAAATGGTCACTATGTGCTTTTTCTCTTGAAGTTGCCTCGAAATTTTGGCATGGTCATAGGTGTCCTTTTTCATCGGTTAGTTTGGTTACGATGGGTTCCGCTGGTTTAGATCCGTATGCCCCATTTAGCAGGGAAACCCATCTAGTTTTCCAAAAGGCTACCTATGGGTATGGCTATGCTGTGTAACTATGTGTGACTGTTTCCGTGCCAGGTTGTTTGAGGCCTTTGCCAGAATCATATTTTCGATCAAAGCACCCAGAATCCAGCCGTTGAGAGGTATTCAGAGCCTTGACCTTTCTTAAAAATAGAACCTGGCGGATGAAAGTCCAGTTGATCGACAGGCTTTGTCATTTGATACATGATCTTTGCTTCTGTGTCCTTTCCGCGACACCCCGCATTGGTTCCTGATCGAGGTTCCGTCACTTTCGCTGAATCCAAGTCATTCCCCATCCATCCAAGGCTCTCACCGTGTCTTTGGTGCAAGAGTGCATCATGCAGCGCGCTGACCCCTTGGCAAGAGGCAACGCCCAAGGAAATGAGAGATCGACGCCGGTTTGGGCTGGCGCCTTTTTTTGTTTCCCGCGCCAATGAATGGGATGTTGTCGATCTCGTGCTGCGGCTCAAGCACTTCAGTCACAAAGTGTTGTTGGATAGCTAGGGTTGCAGAGGGCACAGTTCAAGACCGGAGATCCATCAAGGATCTTCTCTTGTATGGGTGTGTCCAATGATTGGAGCCCTGGCATATTGGGTGGAAATTCTTTTGACAGCCATTCCAAAGGGGTTCCTCTGTAATTAGGATTGTTTTTGAGTCCTTTTCGTATGCCGCACACTGCTTGTTGTTGGGCTCACTCTGCTGTTGGCTAACGGCTCAGCCCAAATCTGTTTGACAGTTTAGACATACGCCCAAGTGACTCCTCCACGTGGCATGTAGTGTACAACAATGCTGCCAAATTGGGCATTTGTCAAGTTCCAGTGATATTGGGCTAAGGGGTCGTCCAAGTTCCGAATCTTTGGAAGCATCAGCTTGACCGTGATGCCTGCTCTTGCGAATGGCTCGCAAGCTACATACAGATAGCGCACACAAGAGACTGGTGAAGCAAGCAGCCCTTGGCATCCCGACAGCCCTTCCACTGATAGACAACCCAACCGCATTGACCGACTGCCATATGTATTGACTGCTCTCTTGGACGTGGAGAGTTTGCAAAGACTGCATCCACATCAGCTTTGCATCGTCGTCAAGTTGCGTTATCTACGTTCAATCCCTTTGCATTTGGCGATGCGGGTTACTCATGAGACTTGCCCGGGCTTTGCGAGCCGCAGAGGCAGGACTGCCTCAGCGGTGCGAAGGATGTTGACTGTTTGCCGGACAGGCTTTGGTCGACCTTTCTTTCTGGCTGCTTTCCTGTGTGGGTGTGCCTTCTTTTGAGAGTACTTTAGTTCTAGCTTTGAAGGGAAACAAAAGGACACACACACACACCACTTTGAGGGCGTCCCCAAGCAAAAGGCATACCAGTGTTGGGCCACTCTGGTGTCAAAAGGTCAAGCTTCACGGACACTGTTTTTGTTGCGCCAGCACTAAAGGCAGTGGCAATGTCAGTGTGCTATGTGTTCAACTTAGCGAAGAGATGCTCAAACCACCAACGTGACCAGAGCTCTGCTTCAGTGTAGGGACTCGGTCATTTCCCCTTCACGACTTTGCTGTAGTTCCCCGACTTGATTGGGAGCGCCCATGAGCCTGCCACCCCTGTCATCATTGGCTTCCTAAATTTGATCCATGCTGTGCGAGTTTGGCTCATGGGGGAACTCCCACACATGGGCGGGTTCCAAGAGCCCACAGAACCGAATCTTCTGGCACAGGACCCTCGGGTGGAACATCCACACTAAGCAAATGCCTGATGGCCCATGAGCTTCCAACCCGGATGGCAATGATTCTAAGGGGAAACCTCCTCACAAAATGTAAGTGGATATAAAAGAAGGATCATTCTCGTACATTAAATGCTTCCCTGTTCCATGTTTTGTTTCAACTGCCATCACTCAAATGGATGGCAAGGGGGAATTTGGATCCATGAACTCAGTTCGATAATTCGTATTGACGGAAGCCCAAAGCTTTGCTGCGTGCCTGTTGAACAAACTCGGAAACAACGGATTACGTGTTTGGATTACACATATTTGTTGATGACCTTGCCAGGAGCTAACACGACATCATCCATGTGGGAAATCCAAAAGTCGGGCCTGGGGGGCCCGCCTCAAGCGAGCGGCGGGATGAGTTTACTCCAGATGTGCAAACACATAATGCGGCCGTCACACGCCCCCCCCCTTTCGAGGCTGTCCTTCGGTTTTGGATACATCAACAGTCCTTATGCATCTTCAGGCAGGTTTGGAGTTCCTTTGGTAACCTTGATCAATCCGCAAAAAGCTGTTGCCAGTTTTGACAGAAAACCCCCGCAAGGCCGCACTGGAAGTAGCGCCATGGGCGCAGGACGGCTGAGAGGGGAAACGGCAGTGTTCGAAGAGAAGTGTGAGCAGCGAGAGCCATTGTGGCACAAAAGCCTCCAAGCAAGTGCATGAAATCACTGCACCTTCTTGGCTCGCCGAAACCCTTTGGACAGCTTTTGTTGTGCCATTTAAGCTGTATTCAGAAGGGGCATGCGACAAAACTAGCAACCTCCCAGATGAAGACGACATGCTGCCAAGAATTCCAGGAGACCTTGGAACGGCCAAACCCTGCGGGGATGCTTCAAAAGACAGTGCCACTGCTTTCGGCCGAACACCATACGCCAACCATGCATGCCTGTATGGAATGATTGGTATAGGGTTGACCTTCATTTCCAAGAAGCAACCTTTGTGTTTGTGCTTGGTGTTTGGTGTTTGTTTTTGTCTTTGTGCTCGTGGTCGTGTTTGAGTTTGTGTGTTTGTTTTGAGGGCAGCTGTAGCAGTTGTAGCACGCAGATCTCAGAGGAAGAACTGTGAGGGTCCCAAAGATGCAAACTGGGGCCTGGGAGTATGCCTAACAAAACCATGCTGGAGGGCAGTGTTTGCCTCGCTTTAGCTACTCCAAGTAACCATAATGAGCAGCCCTGTCTTGCAACCAGAATCAAAGGAGGAGGATGCACCCCCGCAGATCGCGAGGGCTGGTTGTTCACCCAAACAAACACTTTCCGTATATTGCGAATTGGTTCATGTATCCGAACAGTCTTCGGGCTGCCATCAAGCTGGCCTTTGCCAGTTCACAGGCCTGCCCCGACTTCCAGGCTGGATGCTGCCTGTGCCTGTGGTATTGGTCCCCCACTTTGGATTGGGGGGTGCCCTGATTGGGGAGTCTGTTTGGATCTCTCCTTTCATAGAGGAGGATTGATCCTCGTTGCTCTTTGGTCAGATCCGCGGAAGAAATCCAGCTGGGCCACCAACTGCTGGGTTGCCCATGGAGTTGCCATTGAAACTTAGGTGGCCTTGAATCTGAAAAGGGTGGTTTGAGGCTTCTGAGCGACTCTTCCAAAGACCTCTCCCCAGAGGCCAGAAGGCTTTGGAGAGTCAAAAGCGTACTAGTCCCTTGTCCCTAATAATGCTGCCCCTAGCGTAAACAACATGTTTGCCGATTTCCGAAACTTCCAAAGTCCCCAATGCTCAATTTTGACTGCGCCAATTCTAAACCAGTACACAACTAGCGATTTTCGTGTGATTTTCCCTTCGACCCCAAATCCAGCAGCATTAGAACCGATATTTCACCCTTACTGAGCCAGTACTCAACCTTTCATCAACCAACACTAAACCAACACTAAGCCAATACACAACTTACACAAATCCCAAACATGGACTGGTCTCTGCTCTTTCAATTGCGTACTCATAAATTGCCGTTTTGAACCTTTCTCGGTCCCAGAGACGGGCAGAGACCTCGTTACGCGTGCCGAGGACAGGGAGCAGGAGACCGAAACTAGAGTTCTCTCCATCAGGCTTTCCAAAAACTGCACAAGCTGCAAGCTTCCAATTGTTTCAGAGAACATGTAGTTATTCTCCCTTTTAGGCTTTGAAAGGAATCTATCACTGCTGGAAATATGTGTTTAGTTGAGGGGGGTTCAGGAAATGGAAGTAACAGTTTCGTGCCAAGACTTGACTTGCGTGTCACATTCAGCTGATGTTTGGCGTAAGCTGACATGTTGCTTTTATCGAATTCCACTATCCACTTTCCGCACTTCCCACCGACTGCTTTTGTCATGGGCTCAACTCTCATCGGCAAAGCCTTCATTTGTGTGTGGTGTGTGGTGCGTGGGTGTGTGGTGCGTGGTGTGTGGTGTGTGTTTGTGGCGTGTGGTGTGTGTGTGTGTGTGTGTGTGTGGTGTGTGGTGTTGTGTTGTGTTGTTTCGCGTTTGTGTGTGTGCGGGTGTTTCCACAAGCGTGGCTCTGGCAGCTTGAGGCTTTCGTGCTGGAATGAACCTCTCAGCCACTGCACTCCCAGCTACACGGCTTTGATTTTGTGCTAGTTGGCTTCTGGGTTCCCATTTTGGCTTCTGGGTTCCCATCTGCTACCAGTCACCCGGTTTTGTTGGAGGCCATGTTGCTTGCTAGTCCGATAGGCAGGGAAGGAGAAATGGAATGATCCCGATTCAAACCATCCCCTATGGTTTCTTTGAAGGGAACCCCCCTTTCGGTTCATTCCCAACACCCGGAAGGTCATTCCCTTAGCACCAGCAAGGTTGGTGGTTCTGTGACAGTTATGTGGCACTAAGCAGGCGCATCCCTTGGAGCTCAGCAGTGGGCAACTGGCCAAGCGGGCGCGAGCGCCCAAATCGGCGAAAAGTACGGGCCCACGGCTCCCGGTTCATTTGGGAGGTGTCTTTGAAAACGGCGAGCTTTCCTCAAACGTTTAACACAAGGATCTTCAGAACGTAGGTTCCTGCAATATTCGGAGCCTCAGTTTCCTTTATACCAACAAGTGGATCTCTAAGCAAGTCTTGCTGAAGCATGTGCAACCTTAAACAAACTGATGTGTGTTGCTCCTTAAACACGCTTTCTGAAACACCCATTTGTAGAATTGTAGAACGTATTCGCCAAATCCCAAAAAGTATCATGTAGGAATTCCTTCGGGGGTCTCTGTCCCAGTTCCTTCGGTTCAGCCGTAGCGGCAGCACAGGCACACATGCAACATCAACATGACGACAGAACAAGACCACCAACAGCTGCTTCGAGAACGGGTCCGCTGCAACGACACGTAGACTCTTCAGGACGTGGTTGTTGCCAGGAACTCTCAGAATAGCAGCGGTGTGTTTAACTTGCGGGTGTGTAAGCATTAAGCCCCGCGAAATCACGCAATGCAAGTGGTGGCTCCTTGGTCTGATGATCTTGCAAGACAAATCCGACGCCCCTGCACCCTTGAGGAGCCTATGCAGGGGATCCGTCCGTAAGGTCCTGTCAATGACCGACTGGATCTGCATCATTGCATTGTGCATCCCAGCTATTAAGTAGGCCCTGACTTATGAAAATAGGGATGACTTGCAGGATTGTTTCCCTGACCTGTGGTTGTAACCTGGTCACAAAGTCACGCTGAGGCCCTGAATCATGGACACTTTATCCTGACTGTTTCAAACACTGGTAGATGAGGGGGGGTTTCCAAAAAGTCCAGGGGGTAAGACCACCCAATTGTCCCACGTCATCTTGGGGAACAAGTGTTTTTGTCCAGGGCTCTCACAAACTACCTAGATGAATCTGAACAAGATTTGCAAACACTTCACCAGTTGTGCGACTAAACCACCCCAAGCCCCCCAACCCCACCAAAGCCCGCCAAACCACCCAAACCCGCAACCCTCACAAACACCCCCCCCATAAGAAGTAAAAGCCCCCAACAAAACGACAACAAATAAGACCATCCCCACCCCCACTCCTTAAAGAAAGAAAACAAATCAAGAGCAAAGCATTGAAATCTCAGAGTTATTGGGGGCAAACCTTGTAACAATGTGTTGGGAGCAAACCAAAAAAAAACAACTACAGAGTAAACCCCCCGCGCATTGACTTCTCTCAGATCTCGACTCGAGGCCTGGCTCTTGGCCAAGCTGCGGCTGCGGGACCCCTTCCTTTGGCACGAGGCGCCTCACGGCTCCTCGCGGGAATCCGCTGCACGTGTCCTCTGGGTGTTAAAAGGAATCCACCGGAAATGTGGCTTGGTTTTTGTCAACTGCAGGGTTCCACGTGGTTCCACTTTTTGACTTCAGGGTAGGCTTAAACCCAGGGATGCCTCGGTTTTTGAAGGAAATCCACCGCTGGAAATGGGTATGGGTCTAAATGAAGCCAGGAATCGGACCGCAGGTTTTAGTCCGTGTTCCAGCTACCAGGGCAACCTATTTCGGGTGCCTAATTTTGACCCACACCAAAATGTCCCTTTTTGCGTTTAAAGGGAATCCACGGGACATGTCCCATATTTCCCTTGTTGGTTTTCGAAGGGAATCCACCGCTGGAAATCGGTTTTTGTCTTTTACTGGGGCGAAAAGCAAATGGAGGGAATCTAACTATTTTTTATTCAGGGTTTGTTTGTGTCCGTTGAAGTGGGCCATCTTTTTTTGAGTTTCTCATGGGGGCCCGCTGGATTGTTTCCCCGTAGTGGCATTTGGAGAATTTTAGCTGTCGCTGCAAACTCTGTTTGTCTCATGATCCGCATTGGTTCCGGAACCGGCAGTTTTCCATTTGAAGCGCAGTACGTCTGGGGTCACCGTCCAGTTCAATGGTTGTGGGCCCCTTGGGCCCCTTTTCACAAACAAACCACCCCTGTGCTGTTTTGTTTTTCTCCTGTTTTTCGCGATTTATTTTTGAAACACTACCAACAAAACTAAGGATTTCTTTCTGTGGCCAATAACTGAGGCTTAGCGCAGGGACCATGTCAGGTGATCATGTCCCTGCACTTTTAGTTTCGGGCACTGGTTCTTGCTGCTGCCACTGGGTCTTGCCCCCTCACTGCGCCTCACTGTTCTTGGCAGGTGTTTTTTGTGGGGTTTTGTTGGCTCCGCCAACCCTAGTAGGGGGCTGCAAACAACAGAGTTGTGTTGCAACCATACCAAGAGTTATGAAGGTATAGATGGGTGGCTTCTTCACTTGGGTATTGGGAGTCCACCGTTTTGGGATTGTTCTTGACAGCTTTCAGCATGACTGGAGCACAGATCCTGACGTATGTTCAGCAGCTCAAGCCCTGTAGAGTTGGAGGCCCCAAACATGGCCCCAAAAAGCGGCTGTTTCCTGTGTGCAAAAAAAAAACACGAAAAACACACAGTATGTCTTTGTGCATGGGAAGGTGATTTGCTTGAAGGCAAAACGTGCCAACCTATTTGCCTGAACTGTTTGGCGATTAACAGGTCAGTTTTGCAGCTCCATATTTTTGAATTGGAATTGATGTTTAGCTCTATGCTCATCAACCCGAATCTGTGCGAGCGCCTGTTGCCGGCTTGGCATGCTGCGTGCAGAATATGTCCCGCGGGCTACGGTTCATTGGAATGTTTGCGCGCAGGACTCTTTTGGAGGGAACCGCAACCCATGCCTTTCAGGTTGAATATGTCGATCCAGGATACGCTCTGAAACCCCCTTTTCAATGGTGCTGTTTTATCTGTTTTCCTTTGGTCGACTAAAAGGGGAGCCCCCTTTGGGCTGAAAGGAGCAAGTGTTCCGCGAAGGTCCGTCTCCGTGCACGGAGCTGCGCGCGGCAGCTCACTTTGCACCAGCTCACAGCCGGAGGCTGAGCAAGTGGCATTCGGTCTACACGTGTGTTCCCCATCCCGAAACGAATGCCATGCGTTTGCTGTGCTCAGATGTCCGTTTCTTCAGCTCAAAAGGGACTGGAATTACGACAGCAACGGAGCATGGGGCAGCCCAAACTCGCCTCTTAACCCCTCTTCACGGACCGTCGCGAGGCAATTCTAGCTAGCAGCGTGCGCGCTGGCTTGCTCGACCAAGCCTTCCTCTCGGCAATGGGTACGGGCCTCAGTTGGCAGAATGAACCCGAGGGAGATGCAAATAGCACTTCTTGTTAGAAACACAAAATGAGCAGTTTTTAGGTAACTCAGCTAGCAGGAGGGATAATACCTTGCATGTTGTTTCATGCTATAGAGTAGAAGAATCACGAACAGGCCGGGTTACCGGCAGTGGTTTGTGTGAAGGCTGCAACCTCAGCAAATGATATCGTGTGAATGTACACATCGCACAAACTTGCTATCCCTTCCTTTTTGCTCTGGAGCACTGCGTGTACTTGCGAGGGGAAGATGGCCTCGCTGTTAAACAAACACATATATCCGTTGATGATTTGCTCCTACTTGAGAAACATGGGGCCCAACCAAAAGAGGACACATGATTGCTTACATGAACTTTTTTGTACAGCAAACCGCAGTGAGCATTGAAGACTTGCCCATCCATTCAGCGAAAAACCTTAGGTTGGAAACTCGTGCTTAGGTGCTTACGATTAATTCTGCCACCCCCGAGCTCGTCTAGCGGGGAAGGAGTGCCGACATGCCCAAGAAGAAAAACTAGATACATTATGCGGCATGGTTCTGAGTGGACCACAAAATCGACCAACCAGATGGAGATTGAAACGATCCACAACCCATACAACCCATCATGCAGGCTCGCATTTCAGGGCCAATGCGGTTGTGGGCTGCTCGGTCCTCCAGCTGCTTGGTGCCCTTCCAGTTAGTTGGTGGTTCCCCGAAACTGGGGAAATGGCTGTTCACTCCCCACTGCAAGAGGACACAGATCCAGTGCCTTGGCCGGCAAGTGAAGTTTTAACCCAGAAAGGAATGGGTCTTAGCCCTTTGTGGTTGTATGTTTGGCGGAACCAGGGCGACTTTCCGTTTTCTTGGGAATCCAATTAAACGAGCATCACAATGATTCAGGAACCAAAGGTGACACTGTCCGATGGTGTTTCCTTGACCAAATGAACCCCCCTAATCAGTGGCCCAATTCAAGGGGTCAAGGAAAATCCTCTTGACTAGGGGCGCCTCAAGTTGAGTCAGCGAGACCAGTCGACCCCAAGCCCAGCCGCCCAGCCGCGCCCAGCCGCGCCCAGCCGCGCCCAGCCTTTCGCTTGGATACGCTCCTTTGCTGGGGCCCAAGAGCGACGCCGGGCGCCTGGAACCCGTGTCGGCTAAAAGGATGTGTTTGTTTGCTTGTTTGTTTTGGGTGGTTTGCTTGTTGTTTGTTTGTTTATTTGTTTGTTTGTTGGCTGGCTGGTTTGGTTGGTTGGTTGCATTTGTATTTATTCAATGCTTGAACAAATGTGATCTTGCTGCTGTTGTGTTTCTCTTCTTGTGCTTGGCATTTGTCTATCACTGTGTTTGTCTGTTTGTGCAGCTATCCATCCGATTGTTTGTATGTTCGTCTGTGTGTCCATGGAGCTCAGTGCTTCTTTTTCTAGCTATCCGTCCGTCCGTCCGTCCATCCTCGCTCGACCTGTCTTTCCATCTACAATCCGGTCTACTTGAGTGCACACTCACACGTCTATCCTTCATGTCAGATCCTATCCCATCGATCCTATCCTACTCGTATCCGATCCTGTCCTGTCCTTCATTTGCTTGTCTACGCATACAGATGTGTTTGTTGTTTCCTGCCTACCTATCGCTTTATCAAAGCTATTTGCTTGTCGATTTGTCTATGTATGTATGTATCTATGTACCTATGTATCTATGTATCTGCCTATCTATCTGCTGGTTTGTCTGTTTACCTGCCTGCTTGCCTGCCTGTCTGCCTGTTTGTCTGTCTGTTTGTCTGTTTGTCTGTTTGTCTGTTTGTCTGTCTGTCTTGATCTATTTGCGAGTCGATCTATCGGTCTATCTATGTCATGTTTACCTGACTGCCTGTCTGTCTGTCTGTTTGTCTGTCTGTTTGTTTGTCGATCTGTCGATACTATTGGGGATGTATCAACACACAGCTTGCGGTTTTCAATCATCGTTGGTGGCAATTTATGAGTAGCATTTGCATTTGTGTTGCTTAGCCCTTATGGCTGTGGGCCTACAGTTGTGCAGCTTGTACGTTTTGAGTGTGACTGTCCAAACGAGCTCATTTTGACTCGTTTGCCCAACATTGCATCTTCCGGCCTTCAATCTCCTGAATCGAAGAGGTCACTTGACTCAACGTCGCAATTGCCAAGTTGTGAAGCCAGGTGCGTTGCACGCGTTTCTTTCCGCAGCCATGCAGATCCAAGTGGTCTAGCTCCTGGTGGTTTTCTCAGGCCCTCCATGGCGTTAAGCCGAGCTCTGCTTCTGCTTCTGCCGGCGTTGGCAGCAAGCGCCGCCACCTGCAAGGAGCGGTCCCAATGAGCCCGAGTCATGGTGCCTGAACTTGTCGCTCAGTGGAGGGAGGGCAACTTCTTCAGTGTGGTGAAAGATGCTGGAAGATATTTGCCAGAATGCCCTATTCCAAGAGCCAACGAGTGCAAATTGCCTGGTCAACAGAAATGTGGGGGTTGATCACTGTTCCTGGCCCCCAAATGACCATGGGTAACTGTTTCCATGTAGTGGGACATACATGTTGTTTAGTGGTTTCCTCCAATGGTCATCCCATGTAGAGGACCTAATGTGACTATGTTCACTCAACATGACTGAGTTTTACAAAGAGGAAGACCTCACAACCCCAGCATGTCAGTCATTTCTAGTTCCAGGGCCCGGACAAGCAGCTCCTTGTGAGATGATGATGATGACGATGATGATAATGATCGGTGTGTTCTCGTAAGCCTCTCCGGTTGCAAACCAAGGGCATCCTCTTGTATGACCAAGCCTTTGAAACAAGCCGGTGACAAATCAACATCACAGCCGGGCCTCCAGTTGCCAGGTCCAACTTTTCACCATCGAGGTAAACCAACTAGCTCGAGCTCGGGCCAACGAGGGTCCTTTGAAAGGTTGAGGCCGCATTTTCAGGTGGTGAAAGATAAGCCGGTGCCTGCAGCCACGCTGGCTTACGCCCAAGTATCCATCTGTACCGGTTGGTTCTTTGGCTAGCACTTGTCCAGTTGTTGTTCTTTTAAATCTCCGTGTTGCCTTTATCACTGTCCTTGTGAACCATTGCTATCATCCTGACCATGTGTGTTAACAGCGTTGACGTTGCCTCCTTGTTGCTTCTTGCTCGTTCTTCCCCATTATTCTTCTTACAGTGGGAATTGCGGGCACTTCCCCCCTTTCTGCATGTCAGTGCCCCCCTCTTCCCCACCCTTCCGCTGCTCCCGCGCGAGCCCCACTCTCCCCGCAGGTTGGTGACACTGGCACAGGGTGGCCCCTCGTGGTTTCTTGTCCAATCCCCGCCCATTGAAAATGCGATAGGGATGGCGGGTTGTTCCCTGCAATTCGATTTCGAGTTCCATGTTTTCCTTTGAGGTGGCTAGCCACTCATAAATGGAGCTGGCCATACATGGCCAGATAAGCTAAAATTCATGTATACAAAAGCAAACAGATGGGACCAATATGTCAGAACCAAAAAAAACGCACCCACAACAAGATAGACAACCCCTCTTTGCCCCCCCCCCCCCCCCCTTCCCCCCTCCCCCCCCTTTCCCCCCCCCTCTCCCCCCCACTTTCCCTCTTGCCCCCTCCTCGCGACTCGCAGGGGAAGGTGGCGGGTGACAAGGCGTGGATGTGCCCCGAGGTGGACCTCGAGCAGTGCCCTTTGAGCTTTGTGGGCACTGGCTTCAGCAACGATTACGTGCAGTGCGGCCAGCCCCAATTACTCCCAAAACCAGACCAAGCCGAGTCTGATCTTGGGGTGGGGAGTCAACCCCCAAATGGGTATGGGTCAAAATTCAACCAGGAATCGAAGCCCCCCACTCCAAAGTTAGACTCGGTTTGCAAGATTTGGCTGTGGGTCAAGAATAGGTACCCAAAATGGCACCCTGGTACATGGAAACAATGACTAAAACCTATGCCATAAAAAGGCCCGCGCCCTCACCAGGTCATCCTGACCCGCCCAAAGAAAAGAGCCAGGGCCGAAATAGAATTATAATGTGTTTGATTAACATCGAAGTCATGATTAGAAAATGATAAAGATGTAGGTACCGTTTTTAGCTCGTTCTATTTAAGGCAGTCGCCCAGTTCCCCCCTCCTTTACGCAAAACATCACTCAAGTTTCTCAAGCGGCCTCGATGCCACTGTTGGATTCCGAAATAAAGGCTGATAGACAAGAAACTCGAACTCCAGCCCATCATCCTCCTCCCATGGTGCCAAAACACCAGCCCATTTCTGCCCAGCCTTGTATTGTAGAAGTTAACAGCTGCCGTTTGGGAAACGGGTGTCGACCAGATCAGCTTGCAGAGAAGCTGTCAACCGTTTCAGCCCATTCCAGAGTGGAATGGAGACCCGGAAAGTGCCCTGCCTTTAGTGAGCGAATCCATTCATGTGCGGTGTTTGATATACAATCAGATCCTGTATGTGCACAATAGAATACATGTGTATGTGTATATATATATATATATATATATGTATATTTACATGTGGCACCACAGCCTGTGCAATCCAGCATGGACACTCCGCGTCATGTCTCTTCCTTTTCCAATTCGCCTGCCCTGTCTCGGCGATCACATGCTACTCAAGACTCTCATCAAGTGGAGCCCGCCTCATGTTTTCCTTTGCATGTCTTCTGCAGTCGACTCAAGTTTCAAATTTCCTCTTCAAATGGAACTTGAGCCAACTCCTGGCCCAGTAGATCAACCCGCCTCTTCCGGGCTCCCGAGCCTAGTTGACACAAGCTTTGCCGATGTTGTCCAATTCAGTCCACGGACCAGAGCGCCGTGTGCTTGTAGGTGGCAGAAAAGCATTTCGCATACTTAAGCACTTGTGATGCTGAACTATTGCGACATCTACTTTTAGCAAGCGGAAACGCATTTCCTTCACTAAGCACTGGTGAAGCTTGGGGTGTCCAGCACTTTCTGATTGTAAGCGGAAAAAGCATCTCCTTGCCAAAATCTGTTGATGCTGGGGGTGTCGACCACCCTAGCTTGTGGGATGGCATCGACATGTAAGCAGAAAGCCTTTTCTTTTCTAAAGCACTGGTCATGCCGGGCGAATGAGGAACATTGCGCGTTTCGAGCTCGATGTGACTTGGTTTGCTTGGGTCTTTGTGCGGTCGCCACCCCCAGCATCACCAGTGCTTAAGTGAAGGAAACGCTTTTGCGCCTGCTAAAAGTAGATGTTGATGGTCCGTAAGCAAAAGCGGTCGCCACCCCCAGCATCACCAGTGCTTAAGTGAACAAAACGCTTTTGCGCCTGCTAAAAGTAGATGTTGATGGTCCGTAAGCAAAAGCGGTCGCCACCCCCAGCATCACCAGTACTTAAGTGAAGGAAACGCTTTTGCGCCTGCTAAGAGTAGATGTTGATGGTCCGTAAGCAAAAGCGGTCGCCACCCCCAGCATCACCAGTGCTTAAGCGAAGAAAACGCTTTTGCGCCTGCTAAAAGTAGATGTTGATGGTCCGTAAGCAAAAGCGGTCGCCACTCCCAGCATCAACAGTGCTTAAGTGAAGGAAACGCTTTTGCGCCTGCTAAAAGTAGATGTTGATGGTCCGTAAGCAAAAGCGGTCGCCACCCCCAGCATCACCAGTGCTTAAGTGAAGAAAACGCTTTTGTGCCTGCTAAAGGTAGATGCTCATGGTCCGTAAGCAAAAGCGGTCGCCACCCCCAGCATCACCAGTGCTCAAGTGAAGGAAATGCTTTGCGCCTGCTAAAAGTAGATGTTGATGGTCCGCAAGCAAAAGCGGTCGACACCCCCAGCGTCCCAGCATCACCAGTATTTTAGTAAAGCATGACATGTTTTTTCCCGCTTACCAAGTGGTCAGCACCCCCAGCATCACCAGTTTTTGAGGCAAATAAGCTATTTCTGCCAACTAAAGCTGAATGAATATATATATATATACATATGTTTGGTCAGCGGAAGACCGTTTCGGCGTCGACCACTTTAGCTCGAAGACAACTTTTCACCCACGAAGAAAGATTTCTTTTCTTCAAGCGCGCGTTCGTTTGGTCAACATGCGGCTGCGCTTCAACGTAATTGAGCAACCTCTAGACATCTCTTTGGACTGTACTCCACGAATCTATTAATCGATATATTATCTCTCTGTATATGTGTGTCTTCCACTTCCCAACAAAAAGACCCCCCCCTGTCCGAACAACCCACGGCAAGTAGCAATACCATTTTGTTGTAGTAACCTCCTGGCACCCCGTATGGCTGTTTTTTTTCGGTCAAACTCCCGTATTTGGCCGTATTTGCCCGTATGGCCATGATTTTTCGGTCATTTGCGTAAATCACCCGTATGAAACCCATATTTTTTCGACATGTTGTTGAAAAAAAGCCGTAAACAACTGCCTGTATCTTCCAACGAGCGTCATTTTCTGCTCAAGCTGCTATTTGATACGCTTTTGGTGCTTGCGAGCGATTTTTTAGCAAACGAGCACTATTTAGTCTTCGAGCGTTAAATCAGGCAACTGGAAGGCTACTTCGCAAAGGAATTGAGGCTCCTTTGGAGCACACTTTGCGCAGCGTGGTCAATGTTTTGAACAGAGCAGCAGCTTTCCAAGATGAAACGGGCAAGGCCGCACAACGAGCGCACATTCCCGCTACAAAAGCGCAATTTCCCGCCACACGAGCGCACATCAAAAAGTGCTAGTTTTGCCACGTCCGGCGCCCACTGCAAATCTTGCACATGAGTAGCACAAAGACTGAGCCCACACGATGGACAGCTTCTTCTTTTTCGATATCCGCATCCGAGCGCTTTTTCTTGAACCGAGCGCTTTCCAGATAAACGCGCGGTAATCTGCACGAGCGGAAAATAACGCTCATCGGAAGATTCAGGTGTATGGCCATTTTTTTCGGTCAAAGGCGTATGACCAAAAAGAACGGCCATATGGGGTCCCAGGCTGCTAGTCACTTCTTTTTCGCCTCATACGCCCGGCGCAGCTGGTGCTTGCCTATTGCTTCCTTTGCCTCTTTTCCCCCGTCAAACTGTAGGCGACTTCGGCCCGGAACGGTAGTCGACTTGCGGCCCGGTTGCTTAAACAGCCTCTTCCAGGCTCCAGTTGACGTGAGTTTTGCCGCCCGGCGGACGTTTCTTCCCCGTACGAGAAGTGCTGCTTCACGTATTGCCGCTTCAGTTCAATCCTAGTATGCATTTATGTATTAATATGTGTGTATATCTTTATATATAGTAACGTATGCATTATAAATCTTATAAAGCTAGATAGGCAGCATCCTTAGCATCCCCCCACAGGCTCCATGTGTAAAGCTATGGGGCATCGACCATTTTTAGCCTATGGAGCAGGCGTGCACGACTTTGGGATCACTGCGCGTTCTATGTCTCCCACCCTTCCCAAGTGCCTCCCCTTTTGGGAAGAAGGGGCTGGCAGATTTACAAATATATACATATATATATATATATATCTACATATATATCTACGTACAATTATAAACTATTATTGTTCTCTGTGTTTTGGCTATTTGTGTTTCGTTATGTTTAATGTATTAATTAATTTACTCGAACAACGTATACATATGTATAGACATATTAGTATTATATCACCCGCCCCTACCTGCCCCAACCCGCCATGGTATGCCCTGCCCTGGAAGGCAACTTCTTGTGAAACTGTTTTTGACGGAACTTCCACATAAGCAGCAACATGTGAGGGCCAGCTTGCAAGACATGGGTACGGTGGAGTTTTTGGTTGGTCAGGGGACAGCTGTGATTGAACAGAGTAGTTCTTTGATTGCTGGGATCCTTGGGTAAACTGAACATTTGAGTCAATGTGGAGTGCAACAATTGAACACTCTGTGCGACAAGCTGAGTTTGTGGGAAAGGTCCTCCTTCGAGCGACTTCCAAATCAGCACGTGGATGCCAAACAGACCACACAAATGCTACCTCTATTTTCCAGCTTGACTTGTTAGGCTAAAGTCTCAAGAAGTCGCCAGAGAAAACATGTTCTGAGAGTTGCCCGAACGAGACCCTTCTGTCAACCAGCAAACCCAAACTGATGGATGTGGCCATGGTTTGAAGTTTTGTCGGATTTGGAACCGACTGAGCGGGCCAGTGCAGCCCGAATGGCTGGGATGACTACCCTGTAACGAGCTTCATGTAGCAGTTAGATGTGGTTTAGAGAAAATGGATTTGCAGATTTCAACAGTTGATTATTATGTTTTTAGAGACACTGCTAGAATAATTAACAAGACACTTATTTATTCATATTTACTCCTCATTTGTTCTAACTGGATGTTTGGTGATCAAAGGAGTAAAGCTTATTCGAACTGAGGAGCAGTCAGGGTGATTGTTATTTTATTTGCAAGCGCGCCAATACACGCGAGTGGTTGTTGGGCCTGGACGGGGAATAGGTCAGGTCCTGAACCCTGGGAACAAAGCTAAAGCGGAGCAGTGGAGCAGTTCTTTCCGAGGGCGAATGCACGGACCGGGCGGCTCAGGTGGCGTGGCGGGGAAGTACTGCGTCTCCATGGGTCCCGTTTGCCAGCCGCGGCGGGGGTTCCGATGAGGGCAATGCTTCTCACATCGAGGTCGCGGAGCCGAAGATACCAAGACCTGGCTTTGACATGTGGACAGACACCGCGGAAGGAGATGTCAAGAGTGCGTTGAAAAGGAGTGGGCTGCTGTACGAAGACTTCAGAAGTGTGATGTTGACAGGAGGCTTAGTTACCCTCCTGTCCGCTATGGAACCCTGACTCGGCATCCTCTTTGAAAGTTCGCCCCTCTGGGGGGTCCCATGTTAGTGGACAGGAGAGTAACCATGTTAAAAGTCGGATTCCCAACCACAAGCACCCCTTGTCCGCCGCTAGAAACCGCTGTTCCTGTCGCCCACGAAGTGAGGAGTAGTCGGACCCCATTTGACCAGCTCGATTTGGCAATTTGATTGAGGGGGGTCCACTGGACGGAGGAGGGGCGCGATTTCGGGGCCATTCAAATCTGTTTGTTGCCCTTTGAAGGGAGCAAACCTCCACGGGATTGACGTATGCTCAGAATGACGCTTGCTAAACGAGGAGTCTCTCGAGGGCATCATGCCCAAGTCTGTTCAGCGCATTTCTGCATGAACTGAACATGGATGCTGAATCTTATGGAGAGCAACTAGGCAGCGTTTGCGAAACACAAATCCAACAGATTCCATGAGCATACTCTCACTGTGTTGCGTGGAGCGCTTGATTGCTTGCGGCATTTTTTGAACATCATTTCAAGGGTCCAGCCAAGCCTCGACTATCCCGCAAGACCCCTGGGGTGTCAAAAATACACTGTTTGCTTAGGAGGCCATGTCATGATTTCCCTTCGCAGCGGGTTTGAGAAGGACCTGCTCACGACTGGTACATGCTGTACATGTTTGCTGGCTTGGCTTTGGGTTTGATGTGCCGTGCTAAGGTCTCGTAGCACCACGGTCAGCCTTGCATGTTTGGAACGCAACGCCCAGCATTCAGGCAGCATGACTTGCTGGCAGGGCGCAGAAACATGTTGTCGAGATCTGGCTCCTTCCTTCATCATCATCATCATCATCATCATCATCATCACCACCATCATTATCATCATCATCACACCATCATCACCATCATCGCCAAAATGACCATCATCACCATCACCATCACCATCATCACCATCATGATCATCATCATCACTATCATCATCATCATCATCATCATCATCATCATCATCATCATCATCATCATCATCATCATCATCATCACCATCATCATCATCATCATCACCACCATCACCATCACCGTCATTACTGTCGTCATCGTCAAGGTCATCATCATCGGTTTGCGAGTGCGCCAAGGGTGGCCCGATGCTTGACAGGACTTGATCCTCTGTTGCAACGCTCTTCTCCGCGCGGGCTTGGATGTGAAGTCGCCCCTGTACCAGGAGCAGCACATTTCCCACAGTCCGCGCCTAGATGCGATGGGTCCTCATAGGGAAAGCTTGGGTTGATTCCAACCTCGCAAAGAACCGGCAAGTTTGTTTGGGTCTTTTGTATTTGACCGGGGGAGACCATTCCTGTCCGGAGCTCGGAAGCTCAGCGTTTCGCAGGAGCTGCTACGCGGGATTGCGCGAGGCTTTGCAAAGCCGGATGCTTTCCAGGCGAAGGGCTGTGGCCTCACAAGGGTAAGATGGGCTGAGTTTGCTGGACAGATTTTGGGTATTTCCTAAAATCAGTCAGGCACTCTCAGTTGGGTATTTGTATGAGGGAAGCTAGAATAGAATCAAACACTGTGGAGGAAACCCATGATATGTGCTATTGTGTTCTGTCCATACGGGCTGGGCTGGGCCACAAAAAAAGCTCATGCGCTCATCAGCTTTATTTCGGTCAACATGTTGTTGACAAATACAGGCTGCGCACGGCCAAATACAGCCACCGGCCAGAAGACGAGGAAGGCCACACAAGAAAACAGATGCCAAATACGGGTTTTGTCCAAAAAAGTAATGGTCATACTGCTTTTCCAGGCACTACATAGTAGGACGTCATCCATTTCGTACCCCTGGATATCCCCGGATGAACAGAGCCATTTTGGAGGTGTTACAAGATGGTGCACATCACAGTATGTTCAGTTTGAGTCAAGCAATCCGTCGACATGCCCCAGAGCTGTGTTTGGCATGATTACCCCGTCCACGTTGCCATGAAACCCATCAGAGGGGCCATGTTAAAGGAACTATCGTCTTCCAGGATGCCTCAGTCATATGTTAGTGGCCCGGAGGGTATGTTGCCTTGGGTCAAGCTGCAAGTCGCCTGTCTTGGACCGAGTGCCGCTCCAGGCCGCGTTGCTGGCATCATGTCTCTCTCGGCTGAGGCGGGGCAGTTTTTTCCCCTATGCATGAGAGGGGGTGCAACCAGAGCATGGATCAGTCTGATGTCCCTTTGGACTACTCAAATTGGATGGCAGGATGTACAGAGAAACGAAAGCACATTACTAGACACTCCAGTTTTAAAGAGGACCATGTCAGCTGGAAGTCCATGTTTCTCCCTTTGAGATGCCTCCTGGAAACCTTAACTTTGCAAGCTTCAGGGAGAAGCTGACTTCTTGAGTGTCACTTTGTAAAGTGAACGCCTTATGCTAAGGTTATGACAAGGATTCCAAGACCTTTTGTGGTTGACTCGTGACTGCAGCCCGTCACCCACACTATCCTGACCGGAGGTCCTTCATGTTGAAGGAGAAGCGGTGTCACTTCAATCAAATTGCAAGTAGGGGAGCATTTGGCCTCTGTTTTCTGCACCTCGGGACTTTGAGACTGAGGGAGCCGCATCCGCAAGATCCATCTTTGTGGTTGGCTTGGTTTGGCCTCGGGAGCATGGCAACCAGGGGGGCCCACGTTGGGTGCTCCAAGAAATCCAGCCACGGATGTTCGGATGACCAAGCAGGAATGAAACTGTGTCAAACAATGTTTTGGATATACGGGAACAGATTAATTAACACCAACCCGCTTAATCTACAAATCTTAGTCAGCGAATTTGGGAGAAACACTTGTGTTATTATCAGGGCGTCCAGTTTGAGCCCCCCAGTTGATTATCCGATCGTCCAACCAGGCTCCCTTCTTTCCAGCCCCAACAGCTCAAATTTTGAGTGGAACTCTAGTGTAGGCGAATCGTTGGTTTGAGTTTGGTAATGATTTGGTATTGGTTTAGTACTCGCTTGACACATGTTTGATATTGCATGGAATCGGTTTGGAATTGAGTTTGTACTAGGTTAGTATTGGTGCCTGGTTTCGAATTGTTTCACGTTGGCTTATATGTTTTGGAGGATTGGTTTGCGGGCCTTTCCAATTCCAACAGCAGTTGAGGTTGGCCGAGATATTCATGTGTTGGCCACTTAGGCTTCAAGCAACAACTGGGTGGGGCATAGCAAGCTGGTTTTGTGGCTTTTTTTGCTCAGCTGGCTAAGAAGGCACTGTTTCAGACTTTGTGTCTCCTTTAGTACTGAACCTGACCCTTGGTCTCAGTAAACTCTCCATTGGAAAGTCGTTGAGCGAGGTGGTTCGGTGTCCAACTCACTTTGATTCCCTCGACTGACCGCGAGGAGTGTGGACTCGGTGCTGTTGCGAGGCGGACGGTGGGAAGACCCGCCCGAAAACCTCAGGCATTGTTTCAGCAAGGTGCGTCGTATTTCGTGAGGCGTGCCCCGTTTTGGACTGGTCAACTAAGGGCATCCACATGTCAAGTACCCATTGTGGAGGTTTTCTTAGTTTGAGACACACCCAGGCATTTGTTTTGGATGATCCTCCATGATCTCGCTTGGCAAAGCGAGCCTGGTTTGTCGGCGTGGGTATCAAATGGTGGGTTGTCTTTCACTGGGCTGCCCTGAGGTTGGATGTCTTAAGCAAATCAAAAGGATGCCTTTGATTCTTGGCCAATTGGCGCGTAGTGTGCAACAAATTGCCTGTCCGAACTTCTGGCTAGGCGCACAGCGCGCGGTGGAGGAATCTGCAACCAAGGCTCGGGCCAAACGTGCCCATGACATTCGGCCGATCGTTTGGTGAGCACCCACCCTGGGCAAATTTAGTCAAAGGTGCCACTCCCAATGTCGGTTTGTCTCAAAATAGGGGACTCTCCAAATGGTTGGTTTCCTTTTGGCTTCCAAGCAAAAACCACACCAACAATGGTTCTCCAGATCAAAACACACCCACATATATACCCACGTTAGGAGTGTTGGTGCGGGCTGTGTCAAGCTTTACAATCAGAGCCCCACGTGCATCAGTTGTTGTGGGGCCATGTTCTCGCGGTTTTCGCCGCTGGCCTGTTCTTTCCACCCGGACCATTTTCAGACAAACTCATTCAGCTGAAAGCCATGGGGTCCCTCTGAGAGAGGCTCCGGCGTCCAGAGCTCGGTCTCGGTAGGGTTCCGGGTTCCAGGGTTGCTGCTGGGGATGCCTGGGCGTTCTTTGGGGCTATGTCTAGGGAATTCGGCCACTTGTCGTTTTAGCAACCCAACACTTCTAGCCTTAAGGTGCGCAATCATTCAGGCTGAAGCTGAGATTCGCATCATGACGCCAGCCTTTTCCTCAGAGTTTCAGTAGACCCTAGGTATCCCTGGAAACCCATATGTGACGTTTTGTTTGTCCATGCGGCTTGGGCCCCAAAAAATGGCCATACGGTCATTTACGTTTTTGTCAACAATTTGTTGAACAATTACTGGCTGCATACGGCCAAATACGGCCACCGGCCAGCAAAAAAAGACCATATGGGAAAATCGATCCAAATGCGGGTTCCGGCCGAAAAAAAATGGCCATACGGCTTTCCAGGTCCCTTTGGCATTCATCCACCACATGGCCAAAAAGCAAGTATGTACTTTGGCATCCACTCCAAATTGGGAAGGGTACATCATAGCGGCTGGCGTCATCTGAGGGCTGAGGGTCCGCTCATGGGACTGCGCCGCAGGGCTCGCCCGAGAGCCTTCTGCAGTGCTGCATGCTGTTGCAGGCGAGGGCCCAGGAGGACAAAGGGACGAAGGCATCTGGTTTTGGACCCTGAGCTCCCAAGCCGGGTTTGGGGGCGTGGGGGGGCTGGTGGGGGCACTTGTCGCTGCGCCCCACGATTTCTAATGGCGGTGTAACTTTGTTTTTTGCAGAGTGACTGAGGGGTATTGGTTTGTGGCAACTGGTAGGGCAGTTGTTGGACATGCACATGCGCATTCACTGTGACTGGCAACTCAGACAGAGCAAGCTATAGAATGTGATTGAATGATAGCTTTGAGGTGCAATCATGGCTACAGATGTTCATCAGCCATATATTTTGAGGAATCCTGAACACCCATTCTGAGCGTTGCCTTTTTGACAATCCTGCACTCGAGTTGTGGCACACATTCAATCAACTGACAATACTGTTGGGAGTTTCCGCGGTTGATTCGAGGACGTGGGGGACCAGCCAGCTTTCGCCATAGAAACACTGAATACTGCCCGCAACGTTTCTTTTACCGGTGGGTGCCGAGCTGTTGTTTGTACTTGGTTGGCACCCATTCGTGAGCTCAGGTTGGTCCCTCTGTCTGGGGTCTTTGGTCCATCATTCCCAGCTCAGTTTCGGGGCCAAAAAGGATGACCAAGAATCCAATAGTAACGTAGGTCATACCTAAAAGCAGGTTGCAGGCAAGGAGTCAGGACCTACGGCAACAGCCATCCGCCAGAAGTTCTTGTCGGTATCGCGGCAATACAGTATGCCTCAAATGACGTGATCTTCGATCTTTCAGACAAAACAGCCTTTGACAGGGAACTTGGAAAGGAACCGCAAAGACGAAGAAGCACCCATTGCATTCGAGGCAAACAGAGTCTGAACGTGTTTGCCTGCTTGCATTTGTGTGTGTGTGTGACTTAAAGCATATATGCTTTGTGCACCCGAGACTTGGTGAATTAACCCAAGCAGGGGGGGGGGGGCGTGGTGTTGGCCTCAGAGCTTTAGGGATGTGGTCTTTGTGAGGGCCAGGCGTGATCTGCTTGCTGATGCTTGGCATTGTGAACTCGTGTCAGGCGTGGGCAATAAAATTTAGAGACAACAGCTCACTCATATTCCCAGTTTCAACCTTTGTGCTCTTCAGTGACTCAGGTGAATAATGTGTTTTTCTATTGAGGGATTGCTGTTGTCGGTATCCATGTCAAGATGTCTTGTGTGACCCAGCCGAGGCTGCGCCGCAAATGCATTCTGAGGCGGAGGGGGAGGAAGAAATTGAAGCAGCCAGTGTGTCGATGGATGAGGACAGAAAGCACAAAGCACTGCTAAACGATACGGAGATCAAAGAAACGATTTCCCCCAAAAACGTAACTCTAAAAACATCGAGGTTTTGACCTTGATGGCCAAGATGCATGGTCAGGATGGATGGGCCCATGCGCACTGGATGAGCCCGAAGGGGCTTGGATTTTGTTGAAGTTCTGCTTCTTCTTTTGAACATTGCGCCATTGCCTGTCCTCAGAGTTTGAAGGACTTGTCAAGGTTCTTGGTAGATCTTCAGTGCCTCAAAGACGACAGAGGCTTCACAGCTGGTTCCGTGGCCTATGGCAGGTGCTGGAGCGATGTGTCGTGGGGACCTTGCAGACCTGGCCTGGAGCTTGGCTCACGTGCAGCGAGCATGCCGGAAGTCAGAAACAAAGACCGCGGGACCTGAAGACATGTCATCCTCACAGGAGCCCTTTTCAAGGTTATTTCTTGACTCTCTGTTAATTCCCCGGGATCAGACGGTTGTATCCGAAATTGCCCATGTTGGCGGATGTTGTTTGTTTCTGGCTGTAAAAGAGGGCGTGCGCTGCGAAGAATTGTTGCCCTCGTTGGGTATCTCACTAAAACCTCTTGCGCAAGGCTCCCCCTTCCCTTGAATGTCCCCGTCCGACAAGTTTGGGGGTGTTGAATTTTAGACATCCGCCCACATGCCACGCGCGTTCTTTTAAAACGACAGCTGTGACAGAGTTGGCCCAGACTGTCTGGCACAGTTTTGAAAACAGCCCGCCCCGTGCCTGAATTAGAAAACACACCATCTTCTGACAATCCTCGTATTGGGCTGCAAGGGTTGTAGCCCGATTTTGACGCGTCGCCAAGCGCGTAACCAAGCGCGTAACCCTGCAGACCACGGGCCATCACGACCTTGCATTCCACCTGATGCCGCCGACCAGAAAAGGGGGTCGGGCCGTTGCTGGGAATCTTTGGAAGGCATGGGCTGGAAGGCTTCGCATGGCGGCAAGTAACCACATGGCGCCAGGCTGGCACGCGCAAGAGTCTGGGGCCTACGTCAGACGCGGTAACAAACGGGTGCTGTGACAGTGAGCTTGCCGGCGTCGACTGAATCCCTAAGAGAAGGACCGGTGAGCCCGGCATGCGTGCCATGCGACAGTCATGCGACTTTCCACTAGCTAGGGAATTTGCTCGCGCTGTGCGACTTTGCTTCCCCAGTCTTACGCTTTTCCCTTCCCCGCTTCAAACTGTTTCCCTCCTCCATGCGCAGGAAGTAGCCTTCAGGTGCTTAGGCCACGCTTTCCAAACACCCAAGCCCCAGGTGTAGAACATGTCAGCATGGCGCGTCAAAGTGCAGTTGCACCCAGGACTCCTAGGCTGGCAAAGCCAATTAATTTTCTTAGGCGGGGACACCCGGCGCAGATGTTTTTCAAACACCCCCAATCTGCCAACTTTACACTGACACGCGAACTATCGAGAAAGTTCCAAAGTGAGCAGCGCTTACCTTCATGCGCGCGGCCCCGCTGCCCAATTCCAATGGCCGGGCGGTTGACAACAGGCCTTACGTTTGGACATGGAATTTGAAAGAAGACTCGGCAAGAAAACACTGAGGACTTTGTGCAATTGACAATTTCTTTGTTTTAGTGAACAACAAGAAATTGCCGGTCCAAAGAAACAGGTAAATCAAGCAACCTATGTCACAACAGAGCTTATATTGAAGACTGGCCTCCCACCAGTCATTTCCTCTTCACCTGCCAAACTACAATGGGTGCTGACCACTGCTCGAAGTCCACGCGCGATCTCGCAAGGTGGGTGAACGAAGACTTCAAGCTGCCGCCGCAGGCTTGCGGGAAGTCTGCGTCAACGGCTTGGGATGGCTAAGGTATGTTAATCTGCCAGAGTGGTTGGAGCGACAGACATCCAATTTCTAAGATGCGTGCGCCTTTTTTTATGCTGAATAGAGGGGTGTGCCAGCGTACTTGAGTTGTTCTCCGCAGAGTCTGTCCTAGCCCACGGCACGGGCGGCGGAGCCAGATGTCTTTGCCAGGTGCTGCGGCGTTGTTTGCTGGCGCTGGCGCAGACAGAGGTGGCTCGCAATGCCGATGCCGAGGACTGACATGGCTTGAGGGCATTTGGTTGGGGTTGCTTGAAAAGGAAACCAAAGGGAAACCTATTGGTTTGTTGGGTACCAAAGGCGGGGGGGCCAAGACACACCAGATGTTACGCAGTGCCCTGCGGTGAAATCAACCAAGCCAGCGGGTGCTGGCGTTGTAGCGAGACAGACAGGATCAGCAGAGGTTTGGCGAACTGACTCGACTGAGTGGTTGTAAGAGGGCTGTGTTCCTTCGCTGGATTGCTGCGTTGGATGTATATACGTGTGTGTGTGTGTGTGATTTTTTGTTCGAGACTACTCCCCTTTGGTTCCCAGCCGAAGGAAGCCAACTTTACCCATTTAGGGGCTGGGGCCCCGTTTTGAGTTTTGAGACAAGCCGACTTGCATTTGCCGTGCCACCAGCTCATTCCGGAAAATGACTTCTCCACTAGGCAATGTCTGAGAGCATCTTTGTTTTAGAAGCATCATTTGTGAAGCTGTTTCTGAAAACTGGGGATGTCTCAAGGAACGGCTGTGCTTCCGGTGGTTTTTGATGAACATTTCCAGATAAAGGGTAGTGTCAAGAAAAGACACGTCCATATAGTGTTTTTTTCCCAGGTAGCTCCAAACAGACAAGCACATGCCAGTAAAAGAGCCTATCGGCAGCTTTGTCTTGGTGCCTTGGTTGCTAAAGCAAAGCCCCCAAAATGCCTTGTCCTGGGCAATCTTCAAAGGTCTGTCACGCGCATTGAAGGATCCCTCCCTTTCACGATAAGCCATGAAACTCCGATCCTCTTTCCTGGCCTTGCCCATCTCTCATCTTGATTTGCTCGGCGCAGGATCCTCATGTGGAATGCTCGCCGAATCGCTTCAGGAGCCGTCCAGCTTGATGAAGGTGGTGGCGGACTATTTGGCAGGAGACTCGCTGGTGCTCGATTCACAAACCCGCCATCGAATTGCTGGAAAATAGAGTTGTTAGATCTGTCGATGGTTTGCTGCCTCTGGTAAGCAGGAACCGGCCAAGTGATACCATTTCAGCTGAGCCGGAAGTGGTGCAGCGACAGAATCACGTGCTCAGCAGCGCCCATTGACTCTCCATCAAGGGTTTTCCCGGCACTTCCACACAGGGATGTAATTACACCTCATGTAGGATAGCAGATCTTGCCATCATACCCTAGGGGCTGGGAGCTGTTTTTGGGCAAGGGGACAAGCGCGTAAATACAAATGTGGATCAGCAAGCGGCGGGAAGGACCGTGGGTTCAAGCAAAAACGAAGGAGTCAGGGGCATGGTTGCTTGTTTGATGTTGAAGCTTGCTATGTTCACACTTCCAGCAAGGTGATCAATGATTCATATGCACGCAACCTGCAATTCACTCTCAATCAAAATGTGGACAACATTGGAGTCCTCAGTTCCAGCACAAAACAAAATCCCAAGTTGGACGTCCAGAAGTCATCCCACGACCCCAAGTCGCCATGTCTGAGAGAGGTGGACTTCTGGGCTATTGAAAGCTCAACGCTTACTGGGTAACGCGTTTCTCCCGAGCCAGAGTTTGCAACGCTCAAACAGCAGCAACCTTCAAACCCTTCAATTGCGTTCCAATGTTTTTTTGGGGAGCACACCTTAAAACCTGACGGCCCAAACTCTTGTTGTCCGGGCTTATGTGCTCACAGTTTCCCCCCGACGAACTCTCCACCTGTGGGACGAATGTCGCGTCACATGGCGTTAGGACGTCCAGGCGAGGGCCGGTGGCCCGCCTCTGCACCTGCGATGCAGGCACTGGCCACAGCCTGCGCCCGTTGGGGCGCGGGGCCTAAGCGCAGAACGCCACCTGACTTTTGTCAGGCAAAGATTTGGGGTGAACTTGATTTGTTTGCCCAAAACACCGAGCTTGACAGAAGCCAACCTGTGCCAAAACAAAACCTGGCAGAAGCCAACCTTTGCCAAACCAAGAACCTGGCAGAGCCCAAATGCAGATTACATGCCACAACTTGTTGGGCGGCTTCTGGAGCAACATTTCTGGGGAGCATGTGGGAGACACATCTTACGCGACGACAAACCAACGCAATCCTGCAGGCAACCCGCCAAGTCACGCGGCATGTGAGATCGCAGCAATACTTGCGATTGAAAGTTCCTGCCTTAATGTCCATTACCCTTCTGGCGTGCATAATCAGTTCAAACCCATCCCCAATCAGCAGGTCAATCAATCAGTCAAGCAAGCAATCAACCAACCAACCAATCAACCAGCCAGCCAACCATTCAATCAACTATTCAATCAACCATTCAAACAACCATTCAATCAATCAATCAATCAATCAATCAATCAATCAATCAATCAATCAATCAATCAATCAATCAATCAATCAATCAATCATTCAATCATATCTTGGGCTTCGGCTTATCTCTGTGTATCTATCTATCTATCTATCTATCTATCTATCTATCTATCAACCTGGAACTGAGAAAGTGCAGAGCGCTAAAATCTGCACGCCGTGCTTGAAACTACTGCGCCCGCCACGAAACTCAACGGGCAACCGTGAAGAGTACTGCGCCTGCCACGAAAACGGTACTCCATGCGCCTGCCAAATTCAACGCGCGAGCATTCAAAGCATTGCGCCTCACGAAATCGGAGTTCCATGCTCCAAAGTGCTGCGCCTTCTGCGAAACTCAGCGTCCCTCCGAAAACTATTTCTGGAATGACTATCCTGTTAGTTGCACCCTTCGTAGTTGTTCAGCAAAGGGCCAGAATCTTGGGAAAAAATGGTCGACTTCTGAAGAGAAGCACATGACAAGAGGACTTGTTCTCCTTCCATATAGAAGTGGGCAAGAGGCCGTTTTGAGGTGTGGAAGTGGTTGTGATGGAAATGGCGTAAAGTTCATTGGACTCCCTTTGCCAGTTCGCTACCTGAAATTGAAGAGGGCTCCAGCACTCCCAGAAATGTCATGAGACGCCTTCCACTCTCCGCATGCTTTACAGTCCACAAAGCCGGGGTGTCCTCAAATTGGGCCTCCTCTTTTTTTTGACCTTCCTGGGGGTTAACAAAATAGTGGGAGGGGTCAAGAAAATTATGGTTCCCCTCAATTTCCTCAAGTTTGCCAGTGTTTGCGCACGCCGCAGTTGACGCCAAACTCTCAGGTCACCACTGCGATGCCCTTCCCGAAGTCGCCGAGCGGCTGCTGAGGGTGCTGCAGACGTGCTGCACGGCCTGTTTTCCGGGGTGGGAGTTCCACCCCCCCCATATTACAACCAGGCAAAAAGGAAAGGCGCGCACAGGAATCGATTGGTTGGCACGTCTCGCTTCTTTACCCTTTATTTGTCTTTCCCATAAATGATTTCACTCTCATGTCCTTTCTTCTCTATTCAAGGTCTTAAAGTCTTAGCGGTTCCCAGCCGTCCGGTTCCTTAGTTTTCTAGTTCGTGTTGGCTCGTTTAGTGGTTGGGCTTCCGAATATAACCCACGCAGGGGATCTGAGGACAGCCCAGTTAGGTAGCAAGAATTACTTTGCATGTCCATGTCCTTTCTTTTTCCTTTCCCGATCCTATGACAAACCTTAGAAATGGGAAAGAAGGAGATCAGATTGGACCGGTGCGTGTTTAGGGGAACCGCAAAGTTCAGGAGCAAAGGGTTTTTCGACTGAAAGGAAGTATGTTCTCTTTGTGGGGGATGTGGGCAGGTCTTGCTTAGGGTGCCTTTCTTGCAAGGGAACCCAACGGGACATCCCTCATTTGGGAGCTTTTATTTTGAGACAAGCCCATATAATGGCCTTGTGCCAGCCGTGGTTTGGCCACGTCTGAGCGGCGGTCAGACAAGTCCTTGGCTGAATTGTGTAACATATTGGGGCTTCTTTGCTTCAGTGTCCGCAAGAGTTGGCCAACAAAGGCAATGAAGATGGCACATGAGGTTTCTAAAGGCTCATGATGTCGAGGTTACATAGTCATCACGAGACAACTTCTGCAAACAACTGGATGAACTCCTCTTAGGGAGACAACAACATGTGGAATGTCATCCAGGTGAATCTTTTCACGTGCAAACTTGGCAACAAACACCCAAGTGCGCTAGACAGGACCACAGCTGCATTTTTCCTCGAACGTGGGCGGGCAAAAGAAAGCGGCCATCCTTTTAGGAGCCTCTCCCCGAAAATGTGCATGAATGCCACTTTTGCGACGGCCTGTCGCTATGAACATAGCCGGAACAACCCCCAGTCGAACACCCTCTCCACCATTGCACGGAACTCCTGACCCCTACCATCCCAATCCCCAACCCACACACCTGAACCGAAGCCCTCACTTTCCCGAACTTCAGATCAATGAACTTCAGCCAAGTGCGTTCATTTACCCAGATGGAAGCTTGCAACTTCAGTCTGCATGTTGGGGCCTTTTGTGTCCAGTTGCCGAGGGGGAAGTGCTTTGACGCTGGCTTCGTCCGATTCGCAATGATTTGTTGTGACACATTGGCGGCAACAGATCGATCGCAACTTCAAACATGGTGCACAAGCCTAGGGGGCAGGAAAAAAACATGGACTCGCCCGCAATTGTGGTACACAAGTTGTCCAATGCCAAAATCTCACCATTCAAAGGCTTCCTTGCCAGGAAGCTGGCTGCAAAGAAGCGCAGCTTGGCTGTGCCAGGGTTGAGAGACCTGCCTGGGGCTGATCACATGCGTATGGAGGGTCAACCGTAGGGACCCATTTGAAGCCGGTTTGAAAGGTATCCAACATGCAACCTGCCATTTGGGGAGTTCCCGCCGAAAGGAAATCATGGAAGCGTTAAGCGCGGAGTGCGCACTTTGTGCAACAGGACCCCGAAGCCCGGGGGCGCCAGTCTGGTAATGTTGGAGATAACAGCTTCCACGATACCTCACAAATTCGTTGACATGGGTGATCAGCAATGAACTGGAGTTCATGAGCCCCTTCCATGTTTGTTTCCTGCGAACTGCAAGGAACATCCAGAGATTGGTCCAACTCGTCTTGATACGCCATGTGTTTGAGGCATTTTTCAGAAGCTGTGAGGAAGGCGCAGCTTCCATCACGCGTTCTGTTCAGCGAAAGTGCTGTGGTTTCTCTCGGGAGGGTGTCTTTCTTTGTCAAGAGGGGGGATTGTGTTTGCACTTTCCAAGTCTCGATGCGGCACGGCAAGTGTTGACATTACCTGCCTGAATCAGGAAGCTTCAAGCCTGTTGAGGGGTTGCCCAGTTCAGGGAGGCCATGTAGTCGACCACGCTGCTTGCAGTCGCCTCAGGTCATTTGGTTTGATTGGATAGTTGCTTGGTATGCCCAAGATAGAAGGAAGGACGGTTGGTTCGCTCGCAACCTAGAGAACAAACGACACAAAGGGGTACCCTCCAAAAGGACTCATCCTGGTCTGGGATTTTCTAAATACTGCAAGTGATGTTGAAGGATCAGTTGGCATGACGCCTTGCGGAAAGAAGGCAAACTCGGATGCTGGATCCAGCATTGGTCAAGTCAAGGCTCTCTGCCAAGTCTTGACAATGGCCTGTGCGGCTGTTCCCCTTTCTCTATTGCGGAGCCCTAGGTATTCCGTGGAAGAGGGGATGGATGTCCTCACGAACCCTTCCGAATCTAAGACCTCGGACCTCTTAGCTTAGGCTCCGGGGCTTATGTTGGCGATACATCGGCGGGTCCTTGGACTATGAGCTTTCCAGATTTGGGATTCAAAGTATGTTCCCGTGCTCATGCAAAAGGAAGAGAGATAGGAAGAGTGAAGTGTTTGCCGAGCGCCCAAGAATTTCACGACGGAATTGAGCTTTTTCTCTCGATGTCCAGGAGATCAGCCGGCCGACACAGCCGCGTGTGAAACGCTCGCGTTTGGGGAAGGGCTGAAAGAGCAAAACAATCGGGGCAAATGAGACGAAACCAGGCAGGCAGTTCATTGACCGGTCCCCACTGTCTGCACTGAATCAGGGCCTTTTTTTCACCGCCCAGTTTCCTCGTGTAGGTTCCTCTTCTTTCAGAGCCCTGACTGAAGGCTTGCCGCCTTCCCTGCTGCTGCATTGCTTGAGCAGCACGCTGCCCCTGGCGCAGGGAAGGCACTGGGTGGCAGGGTCAGGATCAACATGCAATATAGACACACACGGGTATTTGTTAAACATTATATATACAAAAGTATACATACAAATATATGTATATACATACATATATATATATATATATGTATGTATAATATATATATATACATACATTACATTATGTATATTTACCCGTTATGTGGGTGGTGATAGTTTGGGGATGACATTGCCCACCGCAATTCCCCGTCAGGAATCAGCGGGTCCACCCAGTCCCATATCATACCCTGTCGCGGAATCTCCAGGGCTCATAACGAGAGGGAGGGAGTGAGAGAGAGGTGTCGACAAAAACGGACCGTGTCGGCGTAGACAATGATATCCCCATACAAATGTCCCGAGCAAAGCTCATATTGTGCTGTGCTGCACACATGGGTCTTGATAAACGTTTCTGGCGGAGTAGAAAGGGCCGGCGGTTGTGAAGCATTGCAGTTCGGGCCGCCTCAGTCCTGCCGCCCAAAGACAGCCCCACCGTTAAGGCCTTGTTTCGCCTAATGCGAAGTATCTTTAGCCTACGGCCTACGACCTCTTCACGTTGTTTTTGGCGGGTGTAGGTTTCTGATTTTGGTCGCCCTGGTGAGGACCGCGGCCCAGCCAATGATTTCCCGTTTGCTCGCCCACTCGGCAGAGCTGCGGGTAGGCCGGATACGTATCGCGGCAGCCGGCTAGTTCAACCCCCAGAGCATCTAAAAACCATAAGCCGTGATGTCCTCCCTCTTTGCCTTTGTTGCCCAGTGGTGCCCTTTTTTTCTGTTTTTTGGGAAGGGTTCCCCTTTAAACTCAACCAACAAAAAAGGGTGGCATCAGAGTTGCAGAAGCTAGCCGGGCGCTTTCTGGGCGGATCCCGTGCTCCAATTTCATGGTGCTCCCTTGCCCACCTGTGAAACCACATTTCGGCGAACTCGGCCGAACTAGTTGGAGCCCTCCAAACGTGCATCCCATGAACATACCCAATCTGCGTTGGACTTCCGGAACCGAACGGATTGAGAATGGGACTCCAGGACCTGGAGGCGTATTGGCTAATTCCCATCCGGGACAAGTATCGTTTTCTTGGACTTGCAGGGGACCTACAATTATAAGAAAAAAAAGGTTGTCAAGATTCTGATCCCTTTCTCCCGATGAAAAGGCAATAATTGCACAGGGCTCCTTAAAGGATACATTTGGCCCATTTGAAACATGGCTTTTTCCACCAAAATAAAGGGAAACCACCATTTACAAGGCAATGTTCAGGTGTATGTAAGGATCCCTTTTGCATGTCATATTTTTCTGCCAAGCCCACAGGTCAATTGCTGGCACTGCTGGAACTCTGTGTTCTTGCCTGGGAGCGCCGGGAGCCCTGCCGATGCGCCCGCGGTTGTTTTCGCGAACGCGCTTTCGAAAGCCGCAGGTGGAGGGCTCTTTCCGCGCAAACGAATTTGTTGTCTGTGGTCACTGCTGCGAAAAGTGAGCACTTGGGCTATGTCACGTCGGTTGAGCCTGCAAGAAAGCTTGCTTGCAGCATGTGGAGTTGTCAATTTGGCTGAACTGTCGGACCATGAGCCCTGTGAAGCGAGATCTATGAGACGGTGCTTAGGCAAAGGAGAGTGGCCCAAGTCTGGACTTGGGTTTTTGTCCCATGGAAGGGGCCCTCCCTATTGACAAAATCGCAGCTTTGGGGAGGACATGGGCCTTCCCAAATTTCCAAAAGCAGGGGCCCACCAAACTTGTGTGTTTCCTTGGTTTCATCTGCTCATATATGTTACCTGCATGTTCCCTTTGTGGGTAGCATCTATGGAGCGGGGGCTCCGCTTTTCCCAGTGAGATGGATTCAAAGTTGTTGCGAAGGCCCGGCTGACGGAGAGGCGGGGCACAGATGTGGCACATATGCGAGTGTGTTGCCACGGCCAAGTTCATTTGTAACATTGTAGTTATCATGAAGTGAGTGCAACACATCTCAGCGAGCGGAGTAACATGCTTGAAGTTATGCAGCGACTTGTGTTCATACATGTTCAAACTTTCCAAGAGTCTTGTGATTTGCAACCGAATGTTAAATGGATGTGCGAGTGCTTGAAGGACTCATCATGAACAAGAATGAGGCAAGATTAGGATGCAAAGGAAGGTGCTGCCAAGCTATTTCTCACAAGTGATCAGATGGCCGTAAGATTTCAGCCAGCTCCGTTCCAACCATACGTGGCTTGTTGATGAGCGTGTGGTGGTGGTGATGGCAATGTGTTGGCATTGAAAGGATATATGGCGGTGTAAAGCAGTGCAGAGCAGATCCGCACAAAACGACAACGGCCATGTTCAACGAAACGACCAATAAGCAACAAACAGACAGACAAGCAAACAGACAGACAAACAGACAAGCAAACAGACAGACAAACAGACAAGCAAACAGACAGACAAACAGACAGACACACAGACAGACACAGAAACACAAACAAACAGACAAACAAACAATCGATCACACAATCAAACAAAACACCCGTCGCCTCTATCACAACTATGTGGAAACTCCCTCACATCCCTCAAATGACAACTATACACCATCGACCTATGCTGGACCACATTTTGTCTTTGAGACATGTGGGCCTTGCAGGTGCGTGGGCTTTCCGAGCTGCGCTCGGTGGTGTACCCCTTACGCAAATCCCGCCGTAGTGGGGAGGGCTCAAGATGGAATGTCTTGAGATGGGAATCGGGGAGGTTGAGTTTCGACCTGCTGTTCCGTTGGTTTGACTTTCCCTTGGAAGGGAGCGAAGAGCCAAACGGGAAAGCACATCGCTCTTCCGTCGATGTCAAATTGTGTTCTATGCGCCTCGCACGCATTTTGAGGTTGTGGTCATTGCTGCAAAAGGCAAAGGGGCGCAAATGCAAAGACAAGAAACTGATGCGTTGAGCTCATAACATGTTCAATTCCATGACATTGAACGGGCGCCATGTTTGTGAGTTCCATTCGGGACACACCTTCAATTCGATACTGAAACGACCTCAGCTTTGAGTGTCCCTTCCTGCTGGATGCCTGGTTTCGGGCTGCTGAATCTTTTCTTCTTGTACCCAGGTACAGACACGGGTGTGTCTCAAGATAGGGGCCCCCCAAAATGGTGGTTTGCCTTGGATTAGTTAAAACCACCAAGCAAGGGGTACCCTCAAAAAAAGATACTCCGACACTAACTCCTTGGGTAGGAGGCGTTGATCCAAACTGGACATTGATGGCCAAGCGGTTATGCAGCCTTTGCGGCAGAGTCCTCTTAGAGACTTGGACTGGGTCACCACTCAGAAGCATTTGGCTTGAGAACACCGGGTGCTGATGGCTACTGTGTATGTATATATGTTGCATGTTGATAGCATATTATAATATATATATATATATTATTGTTATCATTATTATTAGTTGTATTATTATTTAGTGTCATTATTATTATGGTATTATTATTAGTCGTTTCATTATTATAACTATTCTTACTATTACTATGATTACTCTTTATACTATATATTGTATCCAGTTTGTACTACACACATGAGCTGCCGCTTTAAAGTTTGCATTCTTTGAATCGCGTGAAACATGCCAGAGTTCCCCCTCCCAATGGGGGGGTAGAGGGGTCCTGGAATGGAGCCAAGGGCCGGAGGCACGCATTGGCGCTGCATTGCTTGTGGTTCTTTGGACCTCCCCTCCCCCGTGGCCGGTACCTTGAAGCGTCGCATTCGGCTGCAGGTACCGCCGCATCCGGGAGATGCCGCTCTGGGCAGTGCCCCGTGCTTTGGCGGCGCCTTGGCTCGCTGGACAAAGTCCTGGCTGGTTCGGAGGGGTTTTAAAGGCTACCGTGGAAAGATGTCTGGCGCTAAAAGTGTAGGCTAGTTCTCTGAGGCATGCCAAAGCAGGCAGAGCGGCTCGCGTGTGCTCGTTCCAGGCACTTCTGCAGCTCGTGTAAGGGGCCCAGCGGCGAGCGAGTGGTTGGCTTAAAGGGACACAACAGAAAGACCCTTTCAGGGGGAACTTCCCAAGAGTGATACATGGGCAAATCTGTATACGGCCAAGCAATGGTGATTGTTTGCAAGCTGACCCATGATGAAGGTTCGTCTATGTTCCGTATTGGGATCTCTCATTTTGGGTTGGTGAATCGTTAGGATTCACCCAGTTAGAATGTGCTTGGTATTTAGCGTCCTGGACCATGCTTAGGTACTCGTGGTTGATAGGCATTCGGCATCATCGACCATGGACATGCGCGAGCAAGATGGATCGCTTTTGTTCATTGTTTCCCCTCATGTTCCCTCCCCGCATCCCCGGTCAAGTAGTCTGAGATTTCTCGCTCTGGCTTATATAAGTGTCCCTCATCTTTGGCAAGGCGCCTTCCCTTGGCCATCCGAGTTTAGGCCACCTGACTCAGTGGACTCGGACCTGATCCCAATCCTCCGACGATGCACGGGGCGGCTGGGCTACGCGCTACGTGGCGGCCTTGGTGTCAGCAGCTGAAGTGTGCGGGTGAGGCGGGGGAGAAGGAAAGCTACGCAAGCGGACTAACAGGCAACCCATAGCTTTATCCTCTCCAATTGAAAGTCTCACCTGGGGGTTCCTTCCATTGGTACCCACACAGGTACCAGTGCAAGTGTGCAACGCAGACACGCACGCGCGCACACACACACACACCCACACACACACACACACACCCACACCCACACGCACGCGCACGCGCACCCGCCCACCCCACCCGCCCACCCGCACACCCGCGCACCCGCGCACCCGCACACCCGCCCACCCGCACACCCCGCAAAACCCACCCACCCGCCCACCCGCGCACCCCCGCACCCGCACCCGCTCACGCGCGCACCTGCGCACCCGCGCACCCGCGCACCCCCGCACCCGCCCACCCGCACACCCCGCTGCGCACCCGCGCACCTGCGCAACCGCGCACCCGCGCACCTGCGCACCCCCGCGCACACCCGCGCACACCCGCGCACACCCGCGCACACCCGCGCACACCCGCGCACACCCGCGCACACCCACGCACACCCGCGCACCCCCGCACACACACACGCACACACCCGCACACACCCGCACACACGCGCACACACCCGCACACACCCGCACACACCCGCACACACACCCGCACGCGCCCGCCCGCACCCGCCCACACCCGCCCACACCCGCCCACACCCGCACACACCCGCCCACACTCACACACCCACACACCCACACACCCACACACCCACACACCCGCACACCCACACACCCACACACCCACACACCCACACACACCCCACACACACACCCCACACACACACACCACACACAGCCCCACACACACACCCACACACACACCCAACACACACACCCACACACTCACACACCCACACACACACCCACACACACACACACCCACACACACACACACCCACACACACCCACACACACACACCCCACACACACACACACACACACCACACACACCCGCACACACACACACACATCCACACACACACACACACCCACACACACACACACCCACACACACACACACCCACACACACACACCCACACACACACACGCCCACACACACACACACCCACACACACATACACACACACACACCCACACACACCCACACACACACACACCCACACACACACACACCCACACACACACACACCCACACACACCCACACACACACACACACACACACACGCCCACACACACGCACCCACACACACGCACCCAGACAGGCACATGATTCGTGTGATGCGCCCAATCCGTGTGACTGTACTTTGATGCTGGCCCAAGTAACATCTCATGTTTCACCCACACACATGGAACGTGACAGGAGGCCGCTCGAACAGTGACGTGCTCTTCTTGGGATGTCCTTCATCCGCGTCCATGGGCTGTGGCGCAGGCAAACCACAATGTACGTACTAAAGGAGGTGCTGACAATGATCATGTCTTACTTGTTTTTTTGGTTATGGAAAGATCCAAGTAGCTCTTTCCGTTGAACACAAGACGGTTTCCTTCTTTGAATTGCCATCGCAAAGCAGGCTGTCCTTTGGAGGACCTGCTTTCTTGGCAATGGAGGGAATGTCGGTTCTGCTCGAAGCGACCCACAACACAGGTTTCGGCCATGGGCTGTAGTTGGATCGAGACGTGTGAGGCGAAGAGCCTTCGAAGGCAGAGGGCTTTGGTGTGGATGCTTTGGGCGAGGCGCGAAACGGCCGCAAGTCGGGCACAGAAGACTGAGGACAGACAATAACAGACGCAGCCTTACTGGCTTTGCTGCTTTTCTCGGCTGGTGAATATTTTCCGCACGGTGTGGTTGGTTTCCTAGCCGTTGGGGATTGAACGCTCGTAGTCCTATGAGATTCGGCCAAAAAGGTTCCTCCATGTGAGGTTACGATGGAGGGTGCTGCACTTGGTGCGTCGGCGTGTGGGACAACGATGCCTCCTGTGTTTTGGGAGTACCACAACCATTCTGCAGGTCCCTGCTGAGACAAAGCAGCCATCCTTATACGCATTTTGCTGGACCCACGATTTGACTCTTCCTTAACAACGTCAGAAAACCGAGGTCCTCTTTCTTCAGACTGTAGCACTCGGATGGCTCATGGTCGAACGGGGGCTGATCAATATTCCCTTCAGCCCCCAAATGACCATGAGTAACCTGTTTTAGTGGTTTTCCAACCAATGGTCATCCTATGTATCACTGACCTTTTGATCAACCCCCGAATCTTGTTACCAGTCTTGTTGAACCGCATGGCGGAGGTGCTATACATTTGTGCTGCAGCCAGCTACGCCGACGAGGGCTTTTTGGAAGCCAGTGGCCACCTGAGGGCGGAATGCACATTTGTTGAGACCAAGGCTTGTGGATGTCACAGGCCCCGAGACTTGGGACATGAAACAGGGGCTCGTTGAGGAATGTATGGGAATTCACGGTGTCGGTTCTGTTTCCAAATGGGGGGACCCACAATTTCGCGGATTTTCAAGAAACGGAGAGGCTATGCAAACAGGGGGGCCTAGTTCGAGGAAACGCCTCGATGTGCAGAGACTTCACAGAACTCCATTTGAGACCCCGGCTTTGGTTCTGTTCGGTCCTTTTCCAGACTCGGACAATTGTTCGGGTTGTAACAGTGGTATTGATTTCTCATGGAGACATGCACCACGAGCCTTGTATCTTTGACTTGCAAATTGCGCCAGGGTGGGGGGGGAGAACGGCTGGAGAAACAACCTGGGGCCCCAACACACTGCTGTTTTTTTGTCAAACGGCTTTGCCCGAAAAAAAAAAGTGGTCACACTGCCTAGTACGCTTTCCTTCGCTTTGTTTTTCAATATTTGATCGACAAAACACGGGTTTTATTCGGCCCAATACGGGCAACTAAGGCAAATGAGCGAACAAAAACAACCTTACTGGTAAAAACGAGCCAAATATGCCTTTTGACCGAACACAGTTGCGGTTCGGGGCTCCAGGAAGAGATATGCCCATCGCCTTGACATTCGTGCTTGACCTTCGCCAGTTTTCAGGTTTTCAGTAGCACCTGTTTGCTACCCAGTGTCTGTTGTGGCAGTATTCAAACGCACTGCAGTGTGATCCTTTTGATTCGAGAGAAGAGGATGGCTAGATCAAATTACCGTAGCAAAACAACAGAACAAGACAATTGGAAAGAGATGAACATTTGAAGAACAATCGTGCAGGAGTAAGAAAGGCAACAACGTTGCAACAAGTCATCTAGCAGTTCTGTTGACAGTCATCTGCTGCCGCTGGGCCACGGCCGCTCGGGAGTGACTCGAGTGACTTGGGATGTGTTGTCTTAAAGAAACAGAAAACGGGTAGACAGGCCCAAGTGGGTGTGTGGGTTTGTTGGCAGCGGCCCCATTTTCAGCATGTTGTTATGCCCGACAATTGGGCCGTTCAAATAGGTTTTCAAGCGGAACCCAACTACAAGAGCATCGGTTGGTCACAAGTGATGCCCTGTAAGTACTGTGCCCTTTGTGACTGTCCAGGCATTTTCATAGGCCGGCATGCGCCGTGGGACACATCGGCGCTAGATTCTTGTTCGGCTTGTGGGTGAGCCAATGGAACCCATGTCTTTCACACATGTTGTTTTTTGGGCACTCGGGGTTCCAAGATGTGAAGCATGCCAGGTACCCGGAGGCCCGCTAGGCAACTAAAGGTGCCGCACCCTGTAAGTTGCGAAGCTGAAAAAAGGAGGGCCGATCATGTTCTTGCAAGGTGTTTGCGAGAAACCATGTCCTGTGGTCCTGCACACCCTCATTTTGTAAGACCTGATCTGTTAAACTGTTTGTGTGTGTGTTTCTCTGATTTTGCGCGCCCCGTTGTGGAAAGCCTTTCGCACCAACGGTCAAAGGCAGACTAGGCAGAATCCAGCATCCCACTGTGCCTGGCCTGAGAGGTTTGGGCGTTCAAGTGTTGAACAAAGCATGGTTTCCAGGATGGATATGAATCCATCCGCTCGCTTGAGCATGCAAGAGGACAGAGAGCCTTTCCGCAAAGCGACCTCGCCTTCAGGTAGAAGGGCCATCACCCAGAAAAGCAATCCAAAAGCATCAACAACACCCACAGAGAGATATCATTTCAGATTTCAGATCACCCAAACTCTCCAATCCACACTATCGACAACCGCAAAGAAGTGCCGACCAAACAAAGGCTCTGGGTTGTTTGACAAACAGAAGCAGCTTCGAAGCCCGCTCCTTGTGAATAATCACTTCATGTTCTCTACCTCCCAAGGTGCTTCCCCATGCAAATCAATGGACGGATCCCAAAAAGGGTGTCCTTGCCCAAAAGCAACATCCACCAACAACGTGTGGTTTTGTTTGTCTTTTGCTTCATTTGCAGGGGCACAAACAAGGTTACTCCAACATGTTCAAATATGAACCTTCTCAGTTGAAACATAGAGTCACTGCTTTTTGACAATACCTGTCAATGGACATGTTCCCTTGAGCATGTTGAAGTGGGTAGACTTGTCTGTGGGCGTTTGCCTTGAGGCGAGCGGTGGTTGCTCCAGGACAATGGTGCCCAGCTGAAGGCGGACCGGAGATCTTTGGATGGGCGGGTCCCCAGTTTTAAGAAGCATTCATGCGACCAAACACAAGTCAGTTCATTGTGATGGGCAAAAGCATGACATGGTTGATCAATGGGGTCCTGCGACTTGGTGATCCTTAGGTTTGCAATTCAATCCCGCGGGCTTTTACAAGGCATTTGCGCAACTGTTTAACCTTTGCAAGAATGTATATTCCGTTTGTTGATGAACTTTTTTTGCGCAGATCAACCATGACCCACACCAAGAGTTGCATGGTGCCAAGATCAGCAGAGGGATTTGTGTTCGCCAAGTTCAACGATTCGCAAACGACTCGCGTTGCGCATCTGCCCATGGGTCATCTCAACAAGCGGCAGGTTCCCTCGAGCTGAGGCCAACAGCTCACGTTCCGTTTGATTGAATCGTGGGTTGAGGCCTACACTTCTTTCAGTCAGAAGCAGGACGCATGTTCCAAACCCATCCAGCTCATGACAAAACTCGCAAAGCCAACAACACACATGTCGCCTGTCATTCCCATGAGGTCGCAAAGTCTGCTTAGTCTGGTGTAAACCACTTGGCTCTTGGCATTTGAACCGATGGCCAGAGGCTGCCCAGAAGCCGGTGACCATCATCCACCTCCTGCACTCCGCAGCTCTGCTGCAGGCAAGGCGTGTGAGTCTGGCGGGGAGTTGGCCAAGGACGGGGGAGACCACCTCACCCCTGGTTTGGTGGTTTTAAAGGGAAACCCAGAAGACAACCATTTTGGGGTTCCCTGAAAAAAGGACACACCCAAAAGTTCAACTGCAGTTTCCCAAATTTGGAGCCAATATTTTTTTTGTGTTGGGTTCGCACAGCTTTATTGCACTCGAGCCGAGCTGCAAGATGCACTTCCCGTGCTGTGAAGGTTTGCTGTTTTGAGGATCCATATGCTTGATATGTTGCATTCGCACTGGATGTTTAACAGTGGAACAACTTTTAACAACCAAGGCATGACAGAGCCGGACACACTCTTGGAAATTCTCAACCAGTAGCAGAGCCAGCACCGCGTCCCAAGAGCATCCCGGGAATACCAAGGGCGCAATTCTAAAGTCCGAGAAGATCATAGCAATGTTGCTTTGAACCGAGTGGATGTTCTACTTGGAACTTCCCACCACAGTGGGTAGTACTTTTCAAAATCAGAAACAGTGAAAAACATGATTTTGACACTTCCCAGGTGCCCTCTCGAGCGAAAGGTGCCCGGCGGATTACCACTCAAGAGACAAGTTTCATTTT